TAAACCTGAAGCCTTTCATAAACTTTGCCTTTTCTTTTTTGAGGAGCATTTTGCTCGGAGACTGTCTTTGGGTATTGCCTTCGTTGGTCCACTGTTGGTGCAGCGTCGGTGAACTGGTTTTTTGGATGTGGTGCTCTGAGTTGGGAACCATGGGTCTCATGATGATGCAGAATGCATTGTTGTGGGGTCTTTGGATTTTAGCTGGGGGTGTTTGTCTTGGGTCTGGGTTGCTGGTGTGTGTTGTGTTCTGGGGCCTGTACTGGCGGTGGACTGGTGGGGCAATCTGGTCTCAGAGCATTTCGTATTATTATGTATGTAAAGGATTAGGGGAAGGGTTAGGGGAAGGGTTAGCTAACATGTTAAGTAGTTGAAAAGTAGTTAAAAAGTAGTAAGTAGTTGAACATTTGCTAATTAGCTAAAATGCTAAAGTTGCCCGTGATGAGATTTGAGTCACAACTTTTGGGATGCTAGATGTTCGTGTTATACACCCACCCCAAACAACCACCCTCCTTTTGTTTTTGCCTTAAGTAACCATCTGTCTTATGTAACCATGCCAAGTAACCATCCTAGTATCTTGGATTTATGTACAGAATAATAAAACATTCTCTGAGACCAGTTTGGGTGGTGAGGGTGCCAATTGAGGATGGTTTTGAGTAAAATGCACCTTTACTGTAGGTATTCACTGCTATGAAACCTCATACGTTTTTTATACTTTTTGCACTGGTTTAACTTCCATTCATTATGTAATGTCTCATGCATGTAACTTTATGCTGCTTTCTTGGCCAGGACTCACTTTAAAAATATGTAAATCTCTATGTGACATCTGGTTAAATAAATAATTCAAATAAATAATATCTATAGCCTCCGATTGTTTCCTAAAGGCTAAATGGGCCTTGAATCTTTGGTTTGAATAGATGTTTCAATTGTGTGAAATCTCAGCTGTTTTGAATAGGTCTCTGGATATTCTATCCAGGCTGCTAAAGCCCAGAGGATGTAGACAGGGCATTCTTTGCACGCTTATGTATTTCACTTATTCTTTATGAATAACATTCTGTTGGTGTCTTATGACCAGTCTATGCTAGGATCTGACTTTCAGTTGATGAACACTAATCAATCTTATAAAAATTCTTGTCGCTTACACATTTTTGAGGGCGAATTTCCATTTTTGATAGCATAACTGCATTAGACATTAGATGCTAAGCTCCATAACTGCTTCTGTGAACACTGAGCACATTGAGCACACCCTGGGCCTCATAATAGATGGGCTATGGGCAACTGAATTTGCCAGACAAATTCTGGTTATTGGAAAGCTTTTATTACACAAGGTGCTATGTTTTGTGATACATTTCAAACAGGACAGCATTTTTCTACAATGGCTACTATGTCATCAAATTTAGCTTCTAATACATTTAAAACAGGACCGTTACATCACTGAATAGAGCCTATAGAAAAATGTGCCAAATCATGCTGTTACTTAATGTATTTCTTATAAATGGATCTATAAACCATACAATGAAATGGTATGAATCATACGCTATTTACTTGGAATCATTTGCTAAAGGACACTTAGGTGAGACCAAATCAGTGACTCATGTCCTTCTCAGTTTAATTGCAGCAAAATCCATAAATGTGGTCATTAACACCTGTTAATACACTTAATTGTCTTCAAATATGGCTTAATAGCCAGTGAACATCACCAGAGCTTACTTTTAAATGACCAGTAATGTATTCTCAATTTCTCATCCTACTCTGGAATGGACTGATGGCCCGTTGATTTTTATGCGGTTCAGCTATATTGTCTCCATTTCCCTAGCACTTTGTCACTTTGTCTGATGTCTGAGACTGTTTTAGCTGTGAGCAGTAATGAGTAGAACAAATAGCTGTCATTAGATGCACTCATGGAACTGGTTTTCTCCTTCTCTGCTTCTTTCAAATGTGAGATGTACAGTGAGGGAAAAAAGTATTTGATCCCCTGCTGATTTTGTACGTTTGCCCACTGACAAAGACATGATCAGTCTATAATTTTAATGGTAGGTTTATTTGAACAGTGAGGGACAGAATAACAACAAAAAAATCCAGAAAAACGCATGTTAATGAATTGTTTGCAATCACAGAGGTCAGACGTTTCTTGTAGTTGGCCACCAGGTTTGCACACATCTCAGGAGGGATTTTGTCCCACTCCTCTTTGCAGATCTTCTCCAAGTCATTAAGGTTTCGAGGCTGACGTTTGGCAACTCGAACCTTCAGCTCCCTCCACAGATTTCCTATGGGATTAAGGTCTGGAGACTGGCTAGGCCACTCCAGGACCTTAATGTGCTTCTTCTTGAGCCACTCCTTTGTTGCCTTGGCCGTGTGTTTTGGGTCATTGTCATGCTGGAATACCCATCCACGACCCATTTTCAATGCCCTGGCTGAGGGAAGGAGGTTCTCACCCAAGATTTGACGGTACATGGCCCCGTCCATCGTCCCTTTGATGCAGTGAAGTTGTCCTCTCCCCTTAGCAGAAAAACACCCCCAGAGCATAATGTTTCCACCTCCATGTTTGACGGTGGGGATGGTGTTCTTGGGGTCATAGGCAGCATTCCTCCTCCAAACACGGCGAGTTGAGTTGATGCCAAAGAGCTCGATTTTGCTCTCATCTGACCACAACACTTTCACCCAGTTCTCCTCTGAATCATTCAGATGTTCATTGGCAAACTTCAGACGGCCCTGTATATGTGCTTTCTTGAGCAGGGGGACCTTGCGGGCGCTGCAGGATTTCAGTCCTTCACGGCGTAATGTGTTACCAATTGTTTTCTTGGTGACTATGGTCCCAGCTGCCTTGAGATCATTGACAAGATCCTCCCGTGTAGTTCTGGGCTGATTCCTCACCGTTCTCATGATCATCGCAACTCCACAAGGTGAGATCTTGCATGGAGATTGACAGTTCTTTTGTGTTTCTTCCATTTGCGAATAATCGCACCAACTGTTGTCACCTTCTCACCAAGCTGCTTGGCGATGGTCTTGTAGCCCATTCCAGCCTTGTGTAGGTCTACAATCTTGTCCCTGACATCGTTGGAGAGCTCTTCGGTCTTGGCCATGGTGGAGAGTTTGGAATCTGATTGATTGATTGCTTCTGTGGACAGGTGTCTTTTATACAGGTAACAAGCTGAGATTAGGAGCACTCCCTTTAAGAGTGTGCTCCTAATCTCAGCTCGTTACCTGTATAAAAGACACCTGGGAGCCAGAAATCTTTCTGATTGAGAGGGGGTCAAATACTTATTTCCCTCATTAAAATGCAAATCAATTTATACTTTTTTTTGTAGTTATTCTGTCTCTCACTGTTCAAATAAACCTACCATTAAAATTATAGACTGATCATTTCTTTGTCATTGGGCAAATGTACAAAATCAGCAGGGGATCAAATACTTTTTTCCGTCACTGTATGTATCCATCTTTCCAAACAACTTATGAATATTAAAGGGATACTTCGGGATTTTGGTAATGGGATTTTTATCTACTTCCCAAGAGTCAGATGAACTCGTGGATACCATTTTTGTCTCTGTCAAGTATGAAGGAAGTTAAAGGTAGTTCTGTTAGCCAATGCTAACTAGTGTTAGCGCAATGACTGGAAGTCTATGGGTATCTACTAGCATGCTAGCAGATACCCATAGACTTCCAGTCATTGCACTAACGCTAAATAGCAATTGTACTAGCGCTAGTTAGCAACTTCCTTCAAACTGCATGCAGAGACATAAAAATGGTATCCACGAGTTCATTGCCAAAATCTCGAAGTATCCCTTTAAGTGAGTTGAGTTTGTATAGTTGAAAAACAACTAAACAGCCTATTGAAGCCAATAGCATATAGGATCTTGACAGCAGTTATAGCACAGAACAATGAGCCAGATATTTCACCGGATGTATAAGTGTGAATAATCCGGTTGGCGTTTCCACTAACCACCAAATATGGTGATGAGAGGAAGCCTAGTGACCGGCAGTGGGAGAAGATGAAGGGAGATGGATTTTGGCCAACATTATGCACATTTTCTGATCGATAAAACATTTGATCTCAATACAGTTTTCAGTTCCCAAAACTAGAATCTGTTACGAACAGAGTGGACTAAGTTATGTAGATTTTACCTTTTGCCAAAAAAACTAAAAAAATGTGTTGTTTAGGAGTGCAAGGGCAAATTAAGTTATTGCACATGTGCACTTCAGAGTAGGCGTTCCCTAAAGGAAATATACAAATATATGCTAGAACGCGCCTATAGGATCTCGCTAGCTCGTGCTTGGCTCTGCCCCCCTCCTTGCTTGTTCTGCCCACTAGGACTAATTTGTTCCCATTGGAAATGACGGGCAGTGGTCTATCTTGGGTTAAGTTATAAAAATCGTTGGTTATACCGTCCACACAAACCAACATAGCAGAATTTGTATTGTGCAACACTGGCATCTTGTGTACAGAAAGCAAATAGCACTGCCTTTGTGACTTGAAAAAAATTGGCAATCTTTAAGATTAAATGTTTAAGTACATATTTGTCTAAAGCTTTTTAAATGTGTCATATGTTTTCAAAGAGCCCCTTTATATGACATGTAAAATGTATGTTATGGTTGTACTGGAGAAAAAAAAGGGCTAGGTCTGCTGTTTTTCTGCTTATGACATAATATTATAGAGGATAGGGTGGAGGGTTCTCCAGATAAACCTGTAGGATAATACACTATACTGTATGAACTCTTTAGTAGGAATGTAACCCTAACAAAGTCAGTTATGTATAATGAACCATTGCATATTGGTTGTTATTACATGGTTAGGCCTATGTCAAAAATCAAATGTTATTTGTTTTTGCTGAATGGGCAAAGTGGAGTATTTGGTTTCCAAAGTAAACAGAATGCCTCTAATCTAATATTGCTTTTAAATGGTCTGTCAATAAATCCCAACACTTGCCACATGCATGCCTACGTCAAGGACTGCCTGAGAAACTGATTAAAGCTTCTCTTGAACTTGTCTGTTAATTAATGATAAGATTACCCAAGGAAGGCATATTTCCCAGCACAGTATTTTACAACATAGCATTCGTCCCACAGACTAAGAGCGTGCACAATGAGTAAGCTATTGGCATTCCTGTTTTCCTAAATTGAACGTTTGTTTAAGGCAATTTCGAATAAAACGTGTTTTTGAGGACTGTTTTCCACAAGATGACCATGAGGATAGTGTGGGAATGCTTTCACCCTCCCTGGGGGCTAGAATCCCAACGTGTTTCACAGAGGAAATATAGACTTGACGGTTTTGGCTCCATTGAGTGTGGTGAAAACATTGTTTTTCAAACAGCTGATACAAATGACTAAACATTGCCTCTCCTTTTCAGCGGAAGCCACTGGTACAGTGCTTAAGGTTGTGTCTCATGTCAATGGACTTGGGGTGGTCAATCAGGGATTTGAAACACAGGTATGTAAAGAAGAAATTGCATGCTTACATTTTTCAACATGTACAGTATGTGAATTGATGAATAAACAGACACTTCATTCCTCTCAGGAGGATGACATTTCAGTTAGTAACAGAAGCAGTATCAAAGAGGAGCAGTCAAGAAAAGGATTGGGATTATATTTAAGGTATGCCAATCAAACTAAATGAGTTTAGTTTTGTCTCACCCACTCAGTAACATGGTGTTGTTAGTATCAGTAAATGTCTGTACATTTTGCAGAGCGAGAGAGACAATACGATTTTTCTGTAATGTGTTTGTTTGATTGAATTCCAGCTTCAGACAATCATCTTGTCCCTGCTTGTATCTTGAGCTATCCTATTTCATGAAGTCCTCTTCATGTTTTTGAACTGATAAGAGAAACCTCCCAATATAAATACAAGGCAGCGTAGTCCATTACCTGACACCACATCAAGCTATTGTGCAGAAGAGAAAGACAAGCTGTAATGTCTTTGTTGATTATTAGATCAATATAACAATGGTTGTTTGTAATATGCCGTGGTAACTAACCTGTTCTTTGATTGGTTCTTTAGTAAGATTTCCAAGCCTATTAATGCCACAGAGGATTACTTTAAAGCTCACTCCAAAACCATCAAATACATTGTGCTGGGCTTGCTCGGAGCAGGTATTTTATTTTAATTTAACCCTAACAAATGGACATATTGGGCTGCTAATTTACATAGAGCATGGCTAATTATAAGGGTTGTCTTTTGTGCAAATACCAGAAAATAAAACCAGACTGAATTAGAAAGTTGTACAGTATCCTATGAATTATCCTATGAAAGTTAAATGTTCTAAGAATCAGTCCCCTGCCAATTGCTTATCACAACAATGTGATGCTCTTTTGATCTTACCTTTGTTTCAATATCACAGGCTATGTGGCATACTTCATCACAGCCTGCGTATTGGACTTTGAGAGGGCCATTGCCCTTGTGGTCCTCACCAGTTTGGCAGTTGTCTCCAAAGCCTATGACCTTCTGAAGACATACAAGGGAGATAGCATAACCAAATGTTTCATACCTGCTCAAAGATGCTTCAACAATTTCCGGGGATGGATAATAGGGTAAGCAGTTATTTCATATGGACACTTTAAATGAATTAATTTGGTGAGTGTCTATTTCTCTGTTGACTGAGAGTCTGTTGTGGGTTCTTTAGAGTTTTTGTTGTTGCGGTGCTGGCCCTGCTAGTGACTTGGCTCATTGTGGACACAAGCAAGCGACCAGAGCAGCTCATCTCATTTGGAGGGGTCTGCATGTTCATTCTAGTCATTTACATCTTCTCAGCCCACAGGACAGCGGTAAGCATAACAGCAAATCGCTCCGATCCCATCACAGGGTGAGAGTGTACAGGTTTTCCCATAACGCATGTCTACCTGTAATAACACGTGATTGGTTATAACCTCTTATCTATGACTGTTTTCTTTAGACTTTGAATTTCCTGTGGGCGTCTTTTGGCCTTGTGTGTCTTTTACCAGTTACACCTAGTAATTCCTTCCAATGACTCACCATTTTATGGAGAATCCCTTGTTAAACAACAATGCATATCCAAACATTGTTTGAAGATTATGTCAAGTGTGTTTGTCTCTGTTTCAGGTGGCATGGAGGCCAGTTTTTTGGGGTCTTGGTTTACAATTCTGTATCGGACTGTTTGTCATAAGGACAGAGCCAGGACTCACAGCTTTCCAATGGCTTGGAGAACAAGTGCAGGTATCTTTATTGCTGAAGTGCTCCTTATCTTAAAGAAGTAAACCTTGACTACCTGGAAATTGTCATTGTATCTGGGAGGTCCCTCTTTTATGAGGCACAGTGGAATCTGATAGATGGCCCATAAAGCTATTTACAACCTCTTAAAGACGCTTCTTTAATCTAAAACTGATATTTTGTCTTAACCATTGATATGAGACAGTATTATCCAAGTCCCAATTGTAGCTAGTTGCATGGAATGACAAACTATGAGCCTCATTGTTGACATAAATACATATGACCAGACAATCATCTTTTCCCTCTTGATTTATTATTTCAGATATTCTTGAACTACACAAAAGAAGGGTCATCATTTGTTTTTGGACCACTAGTAGACCACATCTTCGCATTTCAGGTCAGTGAGCAATATTTCAGTAGATGTACTAGAAACATTGTGTTATTTTATAATTAATCCAGGATTTATCAATATATTTCCCTGTTCCTTCTCCAGGCTTTGCCCATTGTAATATTCTTCAGCAGTGTAATGTCAGTCCTTTATTTCCTTGGAATAATGCAATGGCTCATCATTAAGGTAAGAGACCTTCAAACATTTACCCTTTACGAAGTTTCTGTGTTAGGTTTGGGCAGAGTCATATAATTTACATATGGCTCTATGTTTGTGTGTACGGTATGATTTATGTTTACAAGAAGCCATGCGTTTTTCCCCTTTCAGATCGCATGGGTCATGCAGATAACGATGGGAACCTCACCCACTGAGACCTTGAGTGTTGCAGGCAACATATTTGTTGGACAGGTACATTTGCCTGTTTGTAGTCGAGGGTATTTCAGTTCTTACTTCAATATAAGAATTACTGGAGGAAACATATACTTAAGATAACACCATTGTAGTAGTTATACTAAGTGATGTTTACACTTTACATTGTCTTACAAAGTAATATTAATGAGGATTAGGCAATACAAAGTTGATTTACTGTTTAACAGATTACTTTTTTTTTAAAGTGAGGCGAGCGAGCAAATAAAAATAAAATGTATGAAAAACATACAATACAATTTGTAAAAATCCTAAACAAACTTAGTATAACACCTACTGACCTTACCAAGAGATTTTAGCCTTTTGAATAATGGTTTTGGAATGACAGTCACAGGGACCACAGTTTGAGTCCTGGTCAGGGTAACCCCCTAATTAGCTCTCGAGAACTCAAGGGGATATAGCACCCAGCCCTAGAGATCTCAATTGAACTCACGGACCACAGCTGGATCAAAGAAATGCAATCCCGACGCTCTGTAAGAAACCTTTATAATCCTCGCTTGCAATACGGTTTTGTAAACGTTTGGAACTTGACTTTCACATCAGGGAGAAATAATCTTTCAAACACAAAATATGCACTTACTGTATGTAGATCGCAGAAATGTTCCATGTGCACAAAAAGGTTATTTCTCTCAAATTTTGTGCACAAATTTGTTTATATCCCTGTTAGTGAGCATTTCTCCATTGCCAAGATAATCCATCCATCTGACAGGTGTGGCATATTAAGAAGCTCATTAAACAGCATGATCATTACACAGGTGCACCTTGTGCTGTGGACAATAAAAGGCCACTCTAAAATGTGCAGTTTTGTCACACAACACAATGCCATGGATGTCTCAAGTTTTAAGGGGGCGTGCAATTGGCATGCTGACTGCAGGAATGTCCACCAGAGCTGTTGCCAGAGAATTGAATGTTATTTTTTCTACCATAAGCCGCCTCCAACGTCGTTTTAGAGAATTTGAAAGTACGTTCAAAAAGCCTTTCAACCACAGACCACGTGTAACCACGCCAGCCCAAGACCTCAACATCCAGCTTCTTCACCTGCAGGATTGTCTGAGACCAGCCACCCGGACAGCTGATGAAACTGTGGGTTTGCACAACCGAATAATTTCTGCACCAACTGTCAGAAACCGTCTCAGGGAAGCTAATCTGCGTGCTCGTCGTCCTCACCAGGGTGTTGACCTGACTGCAGTTCGGCATCGCAACCAACTTTAGTGGGAAAATGCTAGTCTTCGTTGGCCACTGGCACGCTGGAGAAGTGTGCTCTTCATGGATGAATCCCGGTTTCAACTATACCGGGCAAATGGCAGACAGCGTCGTGTGGGCAAGCGGTTTTCTGATGTCAACGTTGTAAACAGAGTGCCCCATGGTGGTGGTGGGGTTATGGTATGGGCTGGCACAAGCTACAGACAACGAAAACAATTTGATTTTATCAATGGCAATTTGAATGCACAGAGATATTGTGACGAGATCCTGAGGGCCATTGTCGTGCCATTCATTAGCCTCCATCACCTCATGTTTCAGCATGATAATGCACGGCCCCATGTCGCAAGGATCTGTACACAATTCCTGGAAGCTGAAAATGTCCCAGTTCTTCCATGGCCTGCATACTCACCAGACGTCACCCACTGAGCATGTTTGGGATGCTCTGGATTGACATGTACAACAGTGTGTTCCAGTTCTCGCCAATATCCAGCAACAGCCATTGAAGAGGAGTGGGACAACATTCCACAAGCCACAATCAACAGCCTGATCAACTCTATGCGATGTGTCGCGCTACATGAGGCAAATGATGGTCTCACCAGATACTGACTGGTTTTCTGATCCACGCCCCTACCTTAAAAAAAAATAGATATCTGTGACCAAGAGATGCATTTCTGTATTCCCAGTCATGTGAAATCCATAAATTAGGGCCTAATTAATTTATTTCAATTGACTGATTTCCTTATATGAACTATAACTCAGTAAAATCTTAACAAATTAACAGATGATTAATTTGATTCACATAATTCGATCCACCATGATTGCTCAAATCATGTGAATCAAATTAATAATTTGTTTATGGTGAACAGTCGTTTTAGTAAAAATATATTTAGCTAGCATTCGTTTTGGATTATGTGGCTGCAAAACTTGTTTTGTAGATACTTCCAGTTGATTTGGGCATTCAATTTATGGGACATTGCAATTCAATAGATGCTAGTCAGCCAGTGCAAAGTAAACACTGCTAAGGTAAGATAAATATGACTAAACAATAAAAGGTACATTTCCTGAAGAAAACGTGTGTGCTTGCTTCAGCTGTGTAAAAATATTTGTATGGTAATCGTTCGTTTCGTTAAAGAATTGTGTAAAATAATATATTAATATGAATCAAATGAATCGTTCCAATTGTTATGAAAAAACAAGTGACGCAGGGCATCCGTCAAACATTAAATTAACTTTGTTAGGCTGCATCGCAGTGCTAGCTGTGCCACTAGAGATCCTGGTTCGAATCCAGGCTCTGTCGTAGCCGGCCGCGACCGGGAGACCCATGGGGCGGCGCACAATTGGCCCAGCGTCGTCCAAGGTAGGGGAGGGAATGGCTGGCAGGGTTGTAGCTCAGTTGGTAGAGCATGGCGTTTGCAACGCCAGGTTTGTGGGTTCGATTCCCACGGGGGGCCAGTATGAAAAAAAAAAAAAAGGAATGCACTCACTAACTGTAAGTCGCTCTGGATAAGAGCATCTGCTAAATGACTAAAATGTAAAAATGTAAATGTCTGATTATATCCACCTGCTGTGTAAAGTTCTTTATTAAAACATTCCTCTTTATAATGTTTTCTTCATCAGACTGAAGCACCATTGCTGATTCGCCCCTATTTGATGGACATGACCAAATCTGAAGTGCATGCTGTCATGGTTGGAGGCTTTGCCACCATTGCAGGAAGTGTGATGGGTGCATTCATCTCATTTGGGGTAGGACCAAAGAGTCATCCCTCCAATGCACCCAGGTTTTCATATTTTGTCTCAGTTAATTCTAATGTGCCTGATCTTCATTGTTATGTGAGATTGAGATTGCTCATCGCCCCACAGATTGATGCATCCTCTCTGATATCTGCCTCTGTAATGGCTGCCCCATGTGCCTTGGCTATCTCCAAGCTGTCCTATCCGGAGACAGAGGAGAGCAAATTTACGTCAGAGGAAAATATCAAAGTGGCTTGTGGGTATGTGTTTTTGTGTTTTGTGTTAGTGTGTATGTGTTTGCCATTTACCAATTTTTTACATTCCCCTGCATTTTGTATATATAGTATACTTTCTGTGTTTCATATTGGGCTGTCTTAACTCCCCAGTGATGAAAAGAACATTTTGGAAGCAGCTAGCAGTGGAGCAGCTGCATCAATAGGCCTTGTTGCTAATATAGCTGCCAACTTGATAGCATTCCTTGCGATACTGGCGTTCATCAATGCATCTCTTGGGTGGCTGGGAGGCCTGGTGGGATTTCACTCTGTCACATTTGAGGTATGCTCCAGGTAGCGCCACATACCTTTATCCCATCTCACATTTAAAGATCCCTTTGTCTTGACTTGACACCCATGACTTACCCAGTACTTCGTGATGAGTGATGGACACGCTTTGTCATTTTTTTTATTTTAACAGCATGGCTGAATAATTGTGCACATCACAAAATAAGATATGATTATTATTTAAATGTGCCTTGGTAAGATGTCCAAATCATCGAAATAAAGTTGATACTTTATAGACTGGAAACTATCAACCCCATCATTTATCCTTGCTCATTATGTTCTTTGCACCCATAGATGATCTGTTCCTATGTGTTCATGCCTGTGGCTTTCATGATGGGGATACCATTTGAAGAGAGTTTCACAGTAGCACAACTAATCGGCACCAAGCTCTTCCTCAATGAGTTTTTGGCTTATCGGAAGCTGTCACAATTGAAGGGAAACAGAGTCAACGGTCTGGATGAAATTGTTGACGATGAGAGGCAATGGATCTCAGTGAGTATGCTTTTCCCAATCTTATAATTGGTGTACAAATACTGTATGTGCTTATTGGAAATTATTATGTGAATAAAATCAGAAATACTACTGTACATGCATACTGTAGTATTACTGATTACTACCAAAACATGTGGATGTGGACACGTGTACATTCCTCCACATGTGTAAGACCTGTGAATTGACCTGTGTATTATGGAAGTGGCTTTGTTTCTCTGTAAGTGTATCTTACATTTTAGTCATTTAACAGATGCTTTTATTCAGAGCGACTTACAGTCAGAGCATTCATCTTAAGATAGCTAGGTGAGACAACCACATCACAGTCGTAGCAGAATCTTCTAACGTACTGAGTTTCCACATTTACAGGTCAGATCAGAGATCATCTGCACTTATGCTCTGTGTGGATTTGCCAATTTCAGCTCACTGGGGATCGTAATTGGAGGCCTTTGTGAGTATAAGATTCCACACTTTGTACCACCTTATCTTTCTCCATGTGTTGCCATCCATTAGAATGTATTTTTAACTATTTCCATATCTTGTGATGTTACTTTATAGCCTCCATATGCCCATCCAGAAGAGGCGACATCTCCTCTTTAGTGTTGAGAGCCCTGTTCACTGGGACCTGTGTGTCTCTGATTAATGCCTGTATTGCAGGTCTGTGCTTATTTTCACTTCAAAACTATTCTTGATATCAGTTTCTCTATCATCTGACCTCTCCTGGGTGTATCATCTCACATGTTAATTTTTTTATTAGTATGTGCAGGAGTGCAGGAGCATCATGCTTGCTTTGTTTCTTTGTGACCTCTCCAGGTATTCTCTTTGTTCCTCCTCCTCCTCTTGACTGTTTGGATGTTTTCGGGACCTCCTTTTTCAACACCACAATTATAGACCTAAAAGCCTGCTGTATTGATCTCTTTGGAAGGTAGGTTTGAACAATTACAACAGTAAAAGAGGGGTTAAGAGCAGATATCCGGATATAACAAGTTTCTCTACAGATCATTCTCCAAATCTAACCAAATACTTTGTTGCAGCACTGTGAACAATGGGACCATCTCATTCGAGGGCTCCTGGAGCACGGTGACCAACGCCACTTTGTACTTTACGAACTGCTGTGGTCTCTTTGATAATGCAGTTTGTAACTAGGTCCTCCTGTAAGTCCTTTTATATGTTGATTACCAGTGAGTAGATACACTTATTCAGCTCTTTGTATGTATATATTATGTTTCATAACTTTTATTCACATTTGATTGTGAATCAGAAATACTACTGCCGGGGCGGCAAGTAGCTTAGTGGTTAAGAGCGTTGTGCCAGTAACCGAAAGGTCGCTGGTTCTAATCCCCGAGCCGACTAGGTGAAAAATCTGTTGATGTGCCCTTGAGTAAGGCACTTAACCCTAATTGCTCATGTAAGTCGCTCTGGATAAGAGCGTCAGCTAAATGACTAAAATGTAAAAAAAAAAATGTAAATGTACTATAAGTAATGTAGATTAAACTCTGTCCAGAAATTACAAAATGAAGATAAAGCATGTACAGATAAAACAAGTCCTTTAACAGGTTGCCTTTTTGATTTTAATTATGATAAATATAGTTATTTAGTTCTAAAGATTCACCCTTTCATTCAAAGAGTCAGAGGACATATATAGAAATCAATGTAAAGAAATGCTGAAATGTTCTATATAATGATTGTAAATTGTAAGAGTGGATTATTTACATAGAGTAAATCTGTAAGTAAAAATCTGTATTGTATGTAAAAATATGAATATGAATGTTTGACAAGAATTGTATGTACACTTTTATTTTACAAAATCAGTTGGCACAACATAACATACCAAATATTACAGTGTCATGGACATTAATTTCAGTAGCATTCTGCCAACATATCAAACACTCTTAATCCCTCTTGTGCGCTCTCACGCACACACACACACATAACTCACTCACTCACTCACTCAGTCACTCCCAAAAGTACATACGCTTCAAACTAGTGATAATACCCCCCCCCCCCCCCCCCTCCAGTAGTGTGAATGGTGTGAATGCATATAATTTTCAGTCACAAAAGTCAGCTGGAGGTGAGCTACTGCTTTACTGTGAGAATGGGCCAGGTCCAAAGTAGTTTGTACATGGTTCTCATATTATAGCTCTTATTCTTTCACTTTGTGAGTTGACCTATTTGTTTAAATGGCACCAAACATGTGCATTCCAAAGTTACAGCATTTATTTCCGTAATCCCCTTACTGCTCTTCAACACTCAAGGCTTTGTCAGTTAAATATCATGACAAGAGCCAATCCTTTGAAGAACCAGGTTAAGGGGATTGGTGTACTGTACTGTTCAGACTTAAGCATGTGAACATGTTCTTTTCCAATGAACAGATTACAGGGTTTGAACAAAGTTCAACAAAAATGAACTGAACTACAAAAACCTGGCAGTTTTCAAAAGGCAAGAAAACATTGACAAAAAAAGTGCACAAAAACAAATTCCCAGTAAAGAGGCAAGAGTAGTGTTGTCTTTGCTCAGTGTTTGGAAGACTGCAATGCATAGTTTTAGGACATAATACTGCCATAATAGAAAAACGTAAAGCATGCTATACCACCAAGATCCAATGGATGATCAACAATTTCAATTTCAATGACCAAGACATATACATCTCAGATGTACAAGGCAGTTGGTGCACTTCACTCCCCTTGCATCTGCATCAAGCTATTAAAGCTCTGCTTACGGCCACGGCTTTGTATCCAGCACCATTGTTGCAACCACTTCATAAGTCTCTTCTTTTGAAGAGGACAGTAATGGATGTGAGGTAACTGTGTCCCATTTCCTTAGTGCTGGAAGTTTTCTTAAAGGTACTGTACCTCCTCCACTCAGTTAAACCGTTTCAGCAGTAAGCTGGAGAACGGGGAGTATCTTACTACTACTGATGGTTATTGAGAAATAATGTAATGTTATATAACCATCCAATAGGGTGGGTCATTGACTTATTCCCTAGATTTTAACTAACCTCCCTGTTTGTCTCTTCTTCTTGGATAAAGACTTTTCAGGCACAAGCTCTGTAACATTTTGTTCAAGGCCATGCTGGTCGTCCTAGCTTCAACCCAACTAAATACAGCAATGGGTGACAGGAAAACATAAATAAGCTTAACGTTTGCGTGAAAGAAAAGGGAAGCTGTTTTGATATGTATTCCCTTTTGACGTTGCTACCTCATACCACAACTTTGAGACTCTCCTCAGCCTTGGGTTTGGCTGTGGACTGGTTGTCATCTGTCTCCCCAGTCTTTCTTGGCACCTTTGGGCTGGAGGTGGCCTTTCTGGTTGTCAAGGGGCTGTTCAGTCCTTTTCTCTGCAGCTGGGGGCTGGATGAGCCCAACTTTCTGTTGTGCTGAGGGCTGGACGAGCACAACTTCCTGCCGAGCAGGGGGCTCCGGGAGCCTTTGATCTTGGGGGGCTGCTGCAGGGTGTCCATGGGCTTCAGGGTTCTCAGGCTGAGGAGCCCACAGTAGTAGTTACACTGATGCTGGGTCAGGAACTGCTCAAACACCTTAGGAGAACCATCATCTGTAAGGCCTTGATACCTGCAATGCAGAAGTCATTTCATAACTAAGAGTTGGATAAGATGATGTGGACCAACTAGTAAAACATTAGCACAGTATAGGCCTACTTCAAATAATAGCATCAATAGGTATTTCCATATGACAACCTAAATACACTGCTCAAAAAAATAAAGGGAACACTTAAACAACACAATGTAACTCCAAGTCAATCACACTTCTGTGAAATCAAACTGTCCACTTAGGAAGCAACACTGATTGACAATACATTTCACATGTTGTTGTGCAAATAAAATAGACAACAGGTGGAAATTATAGGCAATTAGCAAGACACCCCCAATAAAGGACTGGTTTTGCAGATGGTGACCACAGACCACTTCTCAGTTCCTATGCTTCCTGGCTGATGTTTTGGTCACTTTTGAATGCTGGCAGTGATTTCACTCTAGTGGTAGCATGAGACGGAGTCTACAACCCACACAAGTGGCTCAGGTAGTGCAGCTCATCCAGGATGGCACATCAATGCGAGCTGTGGAAAGAAGGTTTGCTGTGTCTGTCAGCGTAGTGTCCAGAGCATGGAGGCGCTACCAGGAGACAGGCCAGTACATCAGGAGATGTGGAGGAGGCCGTAGGAGGGCAACAACCCAGCAGCAGGACTGCTACCTCCGCCTTTGTGCAAGGAAGGAGCAGGAGGAGCACTGCCAGAGCCCTGCAAAATGAGCTCCAGCAGGCCACAAATGTGCATGTGTCTGCTCAAACGGTCAGAAACAGACTCCATGAGGGTGGTATGAGGGCCCGACGTCCACAGGTGGGGGTTGTGCTTACAGCCCAACACCGTGCAGGACGTTTGGCATTTGCCAGAGAACACCAAGATTGGCAAATTCGCCACTGGTGCCCTGTGCTCTTCACAGATGAAAGCAGGTTCACACTGAGCACGTGACAGACGTGACAGAGTCTGGAGACGCCGTGGAGAACGTTCTGCTGCCTGCTACATCCTCCAGCATGACCGGTTTGGCGGTGGGTCAGTCATGGTGTGGGGTGGCATTTCTTTGGGGGGCGGCACAGCCCTCCATGTGCTCGCCAGAGGTAGCCTGACTGCCATTAGGTACCGAGATGAGATCCTCAGACCCCTTGTGAGACCATATGCTGGTGCGGTTGGCCCTGGGTTCCTCGTAATGCAAGACAATGCTAGACCTCATGTGGCTGGAGTGTGTCAGCAGTTCCTGCAAGAGGAAGGCATTGATGCTATGGACTGGCCCGCCCGTTCCCCAGACCTGAATCCAATTGAGCACATCTGGGACATCATGTCTCGCTCCGTCCACCAACACTATGTTGCACCACAGACTGTCCAGGAGTTGGCGGATGCTTTAGTCCAGGTCTGGGAGGAGATCCCTCAGGAGACCATTCGCCACCTCATCAGGAGCATGCCCAGGCGTTGTAGGGAGGTCATACAGGCACGTGGAGGCCACACACACTACTGAGCCTCATTTTGACTTGTTTTAAGGACATTACATCAAAGTTGGATCAGCCTGTAGTGTGGTTTTCCACTTTAATTTTGAGGGTGACTCCAAATCCAGACCTCCATGGGTTGATAAATTTGATTTCCATTGATAATTTTTGTGTGATTTTGTTGTCAGCACATTCAACTATGTAAAGAAAAAAGTATTTAATAAGATTATTTCATTCATTCAGATCTAGGGTGTGTTATTTTAGTGTTCCCTTTATTTTTTTGAGCAGTGTATATTATTCTGATATTTCGATATACAAACCCCTTTGATTTCGTGATGATTCTAACTTTAGTGATCTTCGGTCCAACACCTGAAAGAAACAAATCACATGGATCATATTGTTATTTGAACTGACTTTGTTAATCTTTTTCTTTTGAGAATGACCTTGTCTGCTAATCTTTCTTACCCTCCAGCCCAGTAACCAGTAAATTGCCATTTGTCCATTGGTGTATCCAATGCTGGAATGAGCAGCATTTCATTTCCACCTCTGAGGTGGCTCTGGTGATCAGCCTGCCTTTGGCATCCATCATACAGTACTTGAGGAAGATGCCTTTCAGGTCAGCCTCCACAGTGGCGTAGGGGACAGAGTTGGCAGGGCGGTACACCATATAGAGAGGGCTCACACTGTGTACAGAAAGGTGTTGGCACGTGCAGGGAAATAATTACATAATCATACTCTGTCGTTTTTTTACTCATAATATTGTGTATTGATAATGATCATTGATAAGTGTATTCATTAAAAAATATTCATAAAAAAGAATTTTTTAATGATCAAAATATACTTTGCAATCATTATAAATATTACTTACTCCAGTGAAAAGCCAAAGTTTTCAATCACCCTCGCCTCAGCTGCAAAGATTTTGCAATACTCTCGAACTGTGTTTTGGATTTTGCACTCCTGGTGAGACAAAATGCGAAGATGCATTGCATTTGTGGCACATTTTATTACAGTGAGGGAAAAAAGTATTTGATCCCCTGCTGATTTTGTACGTTTGCCCACTGACAAAGAAATTATCAGTCTATAATTTTGCTGGTAGGTTTATTTGAACAGTGAGAGACAGAATAACAACAACAAAAATCCAGAAAAACGCATGTCAAAAATGTTATAAATTGATTTGCATTTTAATGAGGGAAATAAGTATTTGACCCCCTCTCAATCAGAAAGATTTCTGGCTCCCAGAAATGGCTCTGCCATTGGCTTTACTTATTTCCCTCATTAAAATGCAAATCAACTTATAACATTTTTGACATGCGTTTTTCTGGATTATTTTGTTGTTATTCTGTCTCTCACTGTTCAAATAAACCTACCATTAAAATTATAGACTGATATTTCTTTGTCAGTGGGCAAACGTACAAAATCAGCAGGGGATCAAATACTTTTTTCCCTCACTGTATGCTTTTTCTCTACACTGAGGCTCTCCAATTCAATTGTTACACTAATCAAAGCCAGTTAGGCATTGGTATGAACCCTGGACTCAGTCTGTGACTTAGTACCTGAATGCTATTATTCTATAATACCACATGACCAGGGTCATATTCATATTCAAAACGTTTTGCAACGGAAAACGAAAGTTCAGGTAGTCCCTTCCCTCCCCGTTTCAATCAATTTTATTCTGTTTGGTGCCTAATAAATACGACCCAGTACAGATTACTTCATATGTTGCAATACCAAACAACAGCTGACCAATTTTGTACATTTTTGCAAGCTTGACACAGAAATGCTGAGTCAGAGCAATACATAACTCTATAGGAGAGCTGTCCTTGTGATTAAATGTACTGTACATACACGTACAATAAGACTCACTTGCTTAGTCATTTCCATGTTTCTCTCTGCAAGGTTGCTCTCCTGTTTGGTCCCATAGGCGATGGGGCTTTGTACTTTGATGATACAGGTGGTTCCGGACTCAAACACAGGGTCCAGGCCATAGATAACCTTCGCCCTGCAGGCCTTATGTGCACAGCCCTCTCCCAGGTGGGCCTCCTGTGTCATAATGCGCCCAAAGAACTTATCCCCCCAGTAGCCTGGGTCTGCTAGGCCTTTGGTGAATAGCATTGGAGTCATTTCAATCTCTTCTCCAACTGTAAAGGACAGAATATGAATCTCAGAAACTCTCCACAGGAGCAGTAACACTGTTAGAATAATTGCCATAAGGTATTCAACAATACAGCAAGCAAATAGAAGTTATTACTGTATAAACCTCTCAGTGCCTGTGAGGCTTACCTTCTAAATCCTCACACAGGAAGTACTCTGAAAGTACTGCAGAAGAAGAGAAAACAATCACAAATGGTAACTTATGGAAAAAACTGTTGAAATAATATTGTGGGATTTCAAAATTATGTTTAGTTGACATCATTTACGGTCTACACTGAGAAGGAAGTCAGTGGAATCTGTCCCAAATTCGTTCTTGATTGAGCAGCCATACACCCCACAATCTCGACTGGATGTCTGGACGATGGCCAGCGCCACTTGGCTTTCATCTCCTCCACTGGGAAATAAAGGAAGATAAACAGGTTGACGTGACACAAGGCACACGCTCACTGCATATTTAATATTGTATTCACCTCCACAAGAGGTCACTGTGAGACTGAGACAGACAGTAGTGCTGCGTGCGTGCTTGCGTGAGGGAAGATTTTGCTGACCCAGCAGCCAATAGCACAGATCTAGACTTGAATGCCCCCTGGTGATTGCGAAATAGAGTGTCTCAGTTTACAGTGGCTTTGTCTGGCCAAAGCTTCACCTTGCGTCACAGTAAGTCTCAGAGCTGTGTTGGCTCCCTGGTCACATGCGCTGGATACCTCTCAGATTGAGAATGAGAGAATGGCATGGCTGTGTAATTGACACGCTGGTATAATTAAAGGCTGTTCATCTTCACAACATTAGTCCTTCATATATAGCACATGGCCCAGATTAACCAGCATATTGGGCTGTTAATGAATGTTTACTGTATCACTTTACAAAGCAACTGTTTTCAGAGGGCAGGTGTCTAACACTGTAACTACATGATGGCTTTGATCAGATTGAGTATAAATGAGATTTCACCACTAGATTGTATTGCAAGCAAATACTGTAAACTCTGGGATGGGAGATTGCCTAGGGATTTACCTTCTTTTCACCTCCACTATCTCTTCCTCGTCCCTGTACCACTTGATGGTGGAGTCACTGAGCACGTTGAAGAACTGGCACCAGAGCTTCAAGTGTCCTGAGGCATCTGGGAAGGGCTCTCCCCTGATCTTACGGATAACCTGAGGAGCTGGTGGGAGAGGGAGGGGGGACAACAAGGTAAAGATATACTGTACATGATACTCTCTAACATTTTCACTTCCTCCAGTGGAAGCTTCCTGATCAGCCCACTCTGATAGGAGACACGTGTCTACTATACACTCCCTGAGGTACCAACACCAAGAGATGAGAAAAACAAACCATATTGGGTTAATGTAAAACTAACTAACTTCAAATGAAACAAAATCTCATTATTTTCCTATTTTATTGTTTTACCTTTGAAGGGGTTCCGCTTCTCCTCAGGAGGTTTGACCTCAGTCTTGGGGCTCTCTGGCTCCTCTGTGCTGATCTCCTCCACAACTTTGGGCACCTCCAGGGTGGCCTTCCTACGGTTCAGCAGAGGGGAGCGTCTCTCTAGCGGTGGGGTCTGTGAGCCTGTTGGGGCCTGCAGCAACGCTGCCCTGCGAGCCTGACTGGGCGACATGTATGGAGCCTCCTTCTTGACCTGGGTGTCTAGTGGACTACCACCCACACCCAGTGCCACCACTACCCCAACCCCTTCTCCCTCCCTGGGGATGAAGATCTTGCGGCGAGCTCCAGAGGCAAGCTCTTCAGGCGTGGCAGAGCGGATGAGGGTCAGACTGTCCCTTCTTTTCAGCCTGGGGCTGTTCTCACAGGACAGGGAGGACGTTGGGGTGTCTCCACCACTCTGCTCCAACACTGTCTTCTCACTGTTAGGAGGGTCATCCACAGTAATGGCAGGGGGAGTCCTTGAAGTGAACCTGCGGAGACTGCTGGGACTCCTGGGGGGTGTTGGGGGTTTGACAGCAAGCCTTTCAATAGAGTTTCTTTCTCTTGGTTCATTGCCAATGATGTAAGACTCTATCCTTGACTCTTTGAGTGGTTTTACTTTTTCAGCTTCAGTAAAACTGATGTCCACTGCATTTTGCATTGTTGTTACTTCTGTTGGCACTAAGGCTTTATATGACAAAGAGGGGAAGTTGTCTATCCCACTCTGTTCCTTTGTTTTTGTAGTCTGTTTCTGTGGATCACTATGGGGTTTGTCAGACTCAGAGGAAGTATAATTTTCAAAATCACTCTTGACCCCCCTGAGCATATCCGCCAATGATTCTGATTCTTTATTCCCATTTTTAGGAAGCTCTTTGCTTTCAGAAATAGGAGGGACCACACACAGAGGCACTTTGGGTGCTTCCTTTGGCTTTCCTCTATCTAAGACGGGGGGCTTGAGAAGTGGATGCTCATGATCCATTTTCCTGAGTTTACTGTCATCAGTATAGGAAACATTTACTGTAGGAATTAACGTCTTTGTGAGCCGCTCACTCTTTATGGTAGTTGGCTGCTCTGCCGTAGGCGTTTTTGCCTCTTCAACTGGTTGGGGAACTTCCTGCACTTTCTCTGTTGGTCGGATGATATCATCATTCCACATACTTTCTTGAGTGGGTGTCACATCTATAACCACTGAGGTAAAAGCTGCGCTATTTTCTGTCATCATTATGTCTGACACATCATTTGCATCATCCTTTTGGAAAATGTCTGGCTCTGATGTAGGTTCATTGGGTGTAATAGGTATTAATGGCTGTGTAGGCTCTTTGACTTCTGGCTCCATAATCTCTATATTTGGTATAATCACTTGCTCTTCTTTTATCTGTTGTTCTGGCACAATTATTTTGATTTCTGGGATTTTAAGAGCAGAATCTACCATTCTAATCTCTGGTACATTTCCAAAGTATCCACCCAGATTAGTGGAATTAGCCTCTGGACTGGTAACTGATGCTGCCACTGGTGGCTCAGGGGACACAATGGCAGAGCCTTTCACAGGCTGGGTCTCTGAGTGGATCTTAGATTCACCCAGCAATTCCACCTTTATTTCAGTCACCTTTTCTTCTGTTTTAACCTGTCTCTCAATAGTGTGGGTCGGTACTTCATTTCTCTCTAAGCTCACATCCTGTTCCTCAGACTTTTTCTGCACAATAGGTGCCACCTGTTCTTGTATTTTCAGGTTGCCAAATGAACTGTCCACTAAACTTTTCTCCAAAGCAGGAGTATATTCCACTTTTAAGGCACTTTCAAGACTATCCTCCAAACCTAAGGTAGAGTTCTCTTTTATGTTGAGATAATGATCCTCCCCTGTCACAGGATGGCATTCCTCTGGTATATTTTGACCATCATTCTCTGAATTCTCTGGGAGTAAACTTTTGAAATGGATCTCCTTGTTATGTATCTTCTCTCTCCTCTCCTCTAAAACACTCACATTTAAAGTGGGACATGGTTGATTCTCTGCTTTGACATCACCTTTCTCTCCTTTCTCCTCAAAAGCACGAGAACATTTCTCTTGTGTCTCATAGACACTTCCAATGCCCTTCTCATCCACATGCATTACCTTCTCTTTCTCACTTTCTGTGGTCACTGTCATCAGGCCCAGGTTGACTGTGGGTGAGACATTATTGTTAGGAGCACTCCCGATGTCACCCATACTAGTGAGATTTGACATATTGGGACCTGCTCCACTGCTGTGGTCTGGGCTCTGTGGAGAGTCAGATGGACCTTGTTTGTGTAAATCTTCAGTTTTGTCATCATGTCTTGTCAACAGATCAGTCCTGGAAGAAAACACTTGGATGTTTGGCTCATGTGTGGCTGACACAACCACATGGGGGACAGAGTCTGCCTGGGTCTGGTCCACAGTTGCCTTGAGGCAAAAACAAACACAGCTGTTTAGTACCACGAAACATCAACACACTCAAATGGTATTTTGAAATCCCTGAACAACACAATAATTCATTACAACACCATGATAACTACTACGCTTGGATTTACATTAGTGGTAGTGTATACACAGTGGTGACCCGTCATTCAGGGCAGGTGTTTGTTTGATGCCTGTTTTGCATGTTATTTTGGCATTAATACCTGTCACATATCAGTTTGTAAACAATGTAAAAAATATATATAATTGAGTTAATAAAGCCGCATATAAACATGGTCTCTGTTTTGCTTTCTTGAGTAAGGCAGCTCCAAAATGCAGGTGTTTCATCCTAGCTCAGTGCTTTCTGTGGTGGTGGGGCAGCCAGCGGAAAATACGGAGCGTAGGGGTTGGTAATGTTCTCTAGTTGCGCCGTGATTGGCTCAGTGTTTTGTCACTGATGGGGTCAATACGTCAACGCAAAATCTACGGGGAAAATTCAAGACCCTTGGGTGCTACCATTGAGTAACATTAGAAGTGCCCATCCAAGAAGGCTCAAGGTAATTGGCCACAGATAAAATGACGTCAAATCACGTTATTTCTACCGTAGCTTTGATTGGGCTGTCAACATCATACTTTCATAATCTTAGCTAGCAAGCTAGCAGTCATCATCATGAATCAAGTCGACAATCTACTGGCAAATCCTTTTTAATCCTTGTCAAATGAAGAGAAATAATGAAGAGAAATTATAGATAAAACGTATGTAAACAATGGCTCATCGGCCATTGGACATAAACATTACACAACAAGTTGGAAATCGCAAATTCAACAATGAGTGGTTTGGAAGGAATCAGTGGCTAACTGCAAGCATTGCAAAGCAATCACTAGCCTGCTATTCAGTGGAGTGGGTGTGTGGTCCAAGTCTGGGTTTAAGGGTTTATTTTACAAGGTTAAAAGGATAAACATTCAACATTGGCCATGCTGTCAATCCAGCATGACTTCTGCCGCGTTCAAAACAACTGGAAACTCGGAACTGGGAAATCTCAGACTTCAGTGAGTTCAAGACAACTGGGAACTCAGAAAAAATGAGCTCCGACTGGGAAAATAAGTTTTGAACGGTCATCCAACTCGGAATTGTAAATCGGGAACTCGGGCCTCTTTCTAGAGCTCCGACCTGAAGATCACTGACGTCATGATTCGACCTTGTTTTTTTCCGAGTTCCCAGTTGTCTTGAAAGCACCATAAATCCAGAGAATGCCTGACTTTGATGACAAAGTTTGATGACAAATTTGCCCACGAAGGACCGCCGCGCCACCTTCCTGTTCAAGTGAGCACAGCACCACAATGTGAGCCCAAAAATGTATTGTGTGCTACTGCATAAATTATGTAATATGCCAGGGAGATATGTATACTGTAGCTAAGAAAGTAATACTAAGTGTATGTTGTGTAGTAAGCTGTTAGTAGCCTATGTGCCTTACCCTAATCATTTGGTCCCTTTTCCCCTCATAATTTAGCCTACTGCGTATATGCCCCCTTTATTTATCCTACGGTTCTGACTTGGTGTACATTTCAAAAGTGCTGAACAAAAAGTTGTGTTGACTACGTCTGTCCTAGCTCGCTCATTAATGTCTTAAACGAAATTACGGATTGCCTCTTATCCGCTCGTCGTCTCCTTATGCCATAGTTTGTACATCTCAATTGTCAGTAGAAACCACATTTGTTTAAGCAAGTCAACCATATAAGCTATGTTTTTTTTAAAGGCAGTAAATGAGGCTGAATGAACTGTTTCGCTGCCAGTCAAGGCTCCGCTGATAGCCAGGTGTAGCAGTGGTAAGGTGTTGGGACTCTGCTGTTGGGACAGCTTTATGTAGGCTCTAACAGTTTGTGGGCACCGTTTGTCATGGTTATAGCGCAATTAATGTATTGTTTAGTGTTGTGTTGTGTTGTGTTGTGTAGTGGCTTTGCTGGCATGCATCTAAACATTTATTTTGTTTGTTTGCCCCACCAAGATTTACATGCTAAAATCGACACTGTGTATACAATCATAATTTATTGGGACTGTGAATCTTCATCTACATTTTACATTTACATTTTAGTCATTTAGCAGACGCTCTTATCCAGAGCGACTTACAGTTACACTTAGCTTTGGGGAAGTACCACAACCCACTAATCATTAACTGCAATGGAGAGCGGTTTGAAATCATTGACAAACTATTTGTTATGGCCAACCACATGATAAATAATATAAAGTATATGCCATTTACCAGACGATTTATCCAAAGCGACTTACAGTCATGATCAAGGCCCAGTATGTTGACCTTTGACTATTTGACACTTTGTGCTTCTTTTGGACTGACTGAAGTTTTTTTCCATAATAAATCAGCTTTAAGGATGACCACAGATATAATATAACGCCAGAACATCTAAAGATCCCTATACAGTATCAGAGTTTTCAACATACGTGAACTGTATTACCTTTGTGAACATGTTGTATCAGCAAACATTTACGTGGTGTTTGTTTGACCACGGACAATATCTCTTTTTTTTTTTTACGACCTGTCAGTTTTCATGAACACGTCCTTACCATATTGAGTAGGCTAGAGGTTAGTTGAAACCAAGATTTTGAAAATGTCACGTGTTTCAAAACTGACAGCTTTGTCTACACAAGATAAGGTAAACAGCTCCTCTTTTTTCCACACAAGGAAACAACCTGTAATCAAACTACTGCTACTGTATTACATATGGCAGTATAATCAACAAAATAATCATATGATTTGATGATACGAAGATGCAATAAATTCAACCATTCTAATAGTTTATTCTGTTTCATGCTTTTCTATTTTGCAGCAATGTATTTGAAGGGAGACCATTGTGTTAGGATAATTGAGGTGTTTCCATGTCAGGCTGTAAGGGTTGGGGTGAGGTGTGACCCAGGTGCGGTGCAGGATAGGCAGTAGGCAGAGATGGTGAAACAAGGATCTTTACTGGTGATCCCGAAGCCAAAATACAAAATAACGAACTTATCACGATAAAAGAAAGGCGGAGCAAATAAGTCTCCAAAAAACGTCTGACAGCCAAAATACGAAATACTACCTAAGACTGAAACTCCTGAGTGGCGCAGTGGTCTAAGGCACTGCATCGCAGTGCAAACTGTGCCACTAGAGATCCTGGTTCGAATCCAGGCTCTGTCGCAGCCGGCCGCGACCGGGAGGCCCATGGGGTGGTGCACAATTGGCCCAGCGTCGTCCAGGGTAGGGGAGGGAATGGCCGGCAGGGATGTAGCTCAGTTGATAGAGCATGGCGTTTGCAACGCCAGGGTTGTGGGTTCAATTCCCGACTGTAAGTCGCTCTGGATAAGAGCGTCTGCTAAATGACTAAAAATGTAAATGAAACAAATAATGAAACAGGGAGAACACTTCTCAAGTACCTGTACATAGGTCTCCGATCAGTCCTTTAACAGGTGTGTTATTTACACAATGAGCTAGTGAGCTGAATTAATGAGTGCCTGTCTGTTGGCAAGGGACCATAATTTCATCCCACCTCAAGTGACTCATGCTCAAAGTATTTTGCCATTGCCCAGCACAAACTCAGAAAATTCAGTTGTCTTTGGGGAAATAGGGACAACACCTATGTGACTTTCATGTAAAAGTCATCCATTATATTTGTGTCAACATGTTTCCTGTTTTGAAAGACTGAGCCTTTTAAAAGTAACAATCCCTGAGGCAAAAGCAATTTCTATCTTAATCTTAAAACAAATGTTTATTTTTCATGGATTACAGGTTTGTTTGAAGAGCACTATGTAGTTTACACTGTATAATAATATTTATCATTTTGAGGAATCTATGTCAGTCCTATCTACAACTTCCCCTGACTTTTTCTCAGATCATTTTTTCCTTAAGTCATTAATGACATATCACTTTCATGTGCTACTGACAGAAACCAACCACGTGCAGTTCCATGACAACATGGTAGAACAGGAGAGCCCATAAAATAGAAGTTGTGGTTAATGGAGAGGAACTGGTGTCACGTTCAATCTAAAAATGGAGCTCTGGCAAGAACTAGGCCTCTTTATTTCACAGAAGTTTCACTCTTGTGCGCAAGCACAAGTTCTGTCAAATGTTATGAGTTCCTCCAATTGATGTGCCCCAACATCTAACATTAACTCGCTACAACAGAAAAGAGGAGTTGCAGTTCCACATTATGGAGAAACCTATCCACAAAAACACTGCTTGCCAGGTGTAAGTGTGTGTGAAGAGTGGAGAGTGGAGAGCGGCTCCCCTTACTGCACGTTGTTCTAATCCATACAAACACTGGACAGAAGACTTGAAGGTTAATTAAATTACCACCATAGGGGACTAATAGAATCTGTGTCATCATGTGTCACTGGCATTGAGAGAGATGTGGATTCTAGTTGCATTACTGAGACAATCTGTCAGCATTTCAACTAGAAGGGAAGTAAAGCCATGAAACATAACCATATCTGTTTACCAGTGATGTTAATCGATTATGAGCCATACTGTTGCATAGTCTACAGCCGGGGTCTCCAACCCTGTTCCTGGAGAGCTACCATCCTGTAGGTTTTCACTCAAACCCTAATCTAGCGCACCTGATTCTAATAATTAGCTGGTTGATAAGCTGAACCAGGTTAGTTACAACTGGGGTTGGAGCGAAAACATACATTAAGGTAGCTCTCGAGGAACAGGGTTGGACACCCCTGGTCTACAGTATAACATGAAATTGGACAGTGCCAGTACGTCATGTTGGCAGGATTACAATCAAACAACCATTACATCATCCAACCATTACATCATTGTTGAAATGTAATCATATTTCATGGTCACAACATAATGGTAGGCTTATCCTATTGTCTTCAGTACAGTACACGCAAACGAATGCTAATACAACCCTGAGAGTTTGACAGTGAGATAAAAGCACCAGTTCCCAGTCACTCTACGTATGGAGAGACTTCCTCCATTACCAAAGAGAAAGAGGTTTATTTTAAGATGAGGGTGACAGTAAGGAATGTGTCCAATGTGAAGAGGTCCTACTCTCATGCTAGGGCCTGCCTCAGAGATATCTACATACTGACCACAAGACCACTGAGACCCTGTGTCTACACGCTCCGCCCTCTTTGGAATGTTGGTCCAATTTTGACAAGTGGTTTATGATTACCATCAAAGCACAGTGGAAACAGTGCACAGAGAATTACAACATTTGTTTCATCAGAGCAATTTATAGGAGTTTTTGTGAAGACACATTTTTTCATCACCTCATCCAATCTCCCTGAGAATTATTTGTATTAGTCAAGAGCAAACTGCCCCAACAGTCTCATTATTTTATAGAAGTTGGCATGTTCATGTAGGCAGGTTCCTTGTTTCCTTCACGATATTGTGCGAGGTGTTGCTCTCGAGTGATACTAATGCACTCTCAACAGTCTAGATGATGTAACAGAGCCTGGCTGACTTGTCCCCTTGTTGCTGATAGTTTCCTTAAAGGGCAAGTGTGTTCTGTCTGCTCCAGAGCACAGAACAACTAACAAACCCATTGTCTCTGATACCATTCATCTGCATCCACCATGTTCTCTGGAGTCTGGACTCTGGACATTATCTGGCTATTTGCTGTGGCTTAATCATTTGTACAGTTTTGGCTGTTGGCATGGTGTGGTTAGATTCAAGTCTTGTTGCTCAAATGTACAATCTATAAATAACCTGGCCTACTGCAGTGTCAGACTGAGACTGAGCCATCAAGATGATCTCAGAAGCAACAAGGTACTTACCTCACTGAGGGCTGGAAGGCCAGATGTGGGCACTGTGTCTGTACTGCTACTGATCATCACCTCTGGACATACCTCCTTCTGCTCAACGTGCTCCAGTGAATCAGGCACACTCTCTGGTGCTCTTTTGGGAGCTGGCGGGGGTTTTTCTGAGTGTGAAACAGTAAATCCATGCATGTGTTCAGCTGGGTTCAACATCTCAAATGACACCAGCTGCTTGTGTGGTACCACAGTTTTTGGTGCTTCCTGTGGCCTATCTACCACCATGTGCACTGTCTCCTCTGTGGGTTTTTTATATACCTCTGGGTGACCATCCGGCTCCTGTGGATGGGGAGGGCTAGGGTACGGCTGTGTTGGGTCAACTGGATGACCTCTGTCCCTCTCCTGACCTTTCACATGATGCTCAGAAGAAGCATGATCCTTCTTACTCTTACCAAAGAAAAAGTATTTGACTGAGTGGAGCACATTGGAAAGAGTTTCCTGAATGTGGTGGTAATCATGAGGATCTCCCTCCTTATGGGCATGCGCCTTAGCCTCCATTCTGACCTCTGAGGCAGTGTTGTTATGTCCTGTTGTCCTTTGCAACTGCTCTGCTCTTTCTTTTTCTCCCTCAATTGACATTTTCTCTCTTTCCTGTTCTTCTCCAAGCATCCTCTCTCTCTCCGCCCTTCCTCTTTCTGCCCTCTCTCTCCCCTGCTCCTCTCTCTCTTTCTGTTTTTCTGCATCTGTTTTAGGATCTGCGGTAGTAGTATCCATTGCCTCCACTGCCACAGTTTCCTCCACTCGTGCAGGGATCTTCTTTTCTTCAGCAGTCTGTGAATGAAGGGTCTCTGCCAGAAATTGAGCCAAACTTATTCCTCCATCATATGCATTTTCACTGGTGCCTGGTCCTGTATGACTACTGTTACTGCTGACAACCCCAGAATCTACACCATTTGAGATCTTTATCTTTTTTTTGGCAAAGGTTTCTGTGGTTGGGGACTTGGTGGTGACAATCTCCATGTTGTCAAAGTCATTGCTGCGAGTCTTGCTCCCATTCTCTGTAGTCGTCACTGGGGTCGGTTCACTGACTTCAGCACCGGCCCCATTAGGTTCTACAACAGCTGCCCCCTGGCTGACTGTGTTCTCCTCCCCATCCGGTGGTGAAGAGGGGGCGCTTGGGGTCCGGCGCTTCCTCTGAGGAGGGATCGGGCTGCTCTGGAGAGGCTTCTGTTCCTGAGGCGCCTTCTGGACGGTCTCCTTGCCCCTTCTCCTGCTCTCCTCCAACTCCCTCTTCTTGTTCTCTGCCTTCTGTTTCAGCTTGCCAAAGAACCTCTGGTGGATCTTGAACTCGCTCATGGTGCCCACCTCCAGAACCCCAGAGCAGGAGACAATGCCTTTGCTGTTCCTGGCTGAAGCCTGATAGATGGCTGCATCATCCACTGTGCAGCTGCAAAGAGAGAGACTCAAATTATTTTGGGAACACTGCAGGCACCATTGAGCACAAGAATACACATCTTCTAAACCCAAATTCTAATCGTTGAATTTCGTGACATTTATTATCTGGTGTAAATGGTGTATGGTATTCTCATTGTTTTACATACTTGTAAATTTGGAGTGTGTGGGTTTTTCCATTGCGGCCAATTTCATATTTTGGAAGACCGCAGTATCGGTCCAACTCCATGTCGTCTCTGTACCACGTCAGTTCTGGGGCTGGGTTTCCTGTGGACATCACAAGGAGATGGCACATCACAGACATACAGTGTAATATAATGACCAGGTTAAATACTCAAAAAATCTATTTTTGATTAGATATAGTTTAATGTTTATCTCTCATAAAGATTATGCCACTTATGATCATTATTCTAATTTCCAGGTTATCCTTGAGGTATGAACACAGTAGCCATTAGTTGTTTTTTCATGCACCTTATGAATGAATTAATCAGCAAAAAAAATACAAAGGAACAGAAAGTTTGAAAGGAAATTGTATCAAGAACCAAGGCCTGTTTCAGACTGTTGAGTCATAGCAGTTTGCAAGGCCACAAGTTCTACTGCTGTGGTTGAGAAGGGGCCAACTCAGATGCCGGGGGGAAGGCAACAGCAAAACCCGCTTAGATGTTTAATCCTATTTATGTCTTGCCTCTCTGCGCCAACATTATGCCATTGCTAATTTAGTCTGAGCTGCCTTTACTTTTCAACAGTTTTCTTTTATTTTCACGTTAATGAATAAGCTATAGAAGAAAACATAAGAATAAGCATTCATAAGCAGTTATAAGCATTTTAAAGTAACTTGTCTCTTTGCATTGTCTTCAATCAACGTTTATATATGAATCGCCCTTCTCAATTCATGTTTGCATCGCTGTTCAGAAGTAGGTTTGTCTCTCTGCTTTGATTTCAAACTAACCACAGAATGACTAGTACCATCGCCTAGTCATATCTATCTAACGCATTCCAACACACATACACAAATGCAAGTAAGTATGTCAACTCTGAGGGAGGTTGTTTAGTGTAGGCCTACCTGTAACCACACATGTCAACTTCACATTACAGTTCTCTGACACGGCCTTGGATTTTAAGGTGGTCTCAAATACAGGCTGGGTGTCCTCAGTCAGCTGAGCCATCACACCAAACAATGTACTCCTGGAGACAGAAAGGGTGCTTTAGCTTTAGTGTCTGTTCTTCAGGGCATGTGCTGAAGTACTTTCCAATGAGAAAGCCAATATTTCAAGTATCTTTTAGCCAACCATTATTCATTCTACACTTCCCACTGGGCAAATAGCAGTTGAATCAACGTTGTTTTCACATCATTTTTATGAAATTACGCTGAACCAATGTGGAATAGACGTCGAATAGACGTCTTTGCCCAGTGGGTTGTTTATTCCAGGGAGGGGAAGAAGGCAGTTAATAATCATTACTGATTGTGAAGGGAGATTGAGATTGCTCTCTCAAACATTTAACATTTCTTAGCAGTTGAAAAAGTGACATGGTAACAGTACCTATAACGTTGTTGAAAATATTTATAACTTTGTATGAATGAAATTGTACATCAACGTTGATGTTCAATAACATCAAAGAAGTCAATATAACATATTCACATACAGCATTGTTAAAAACAGGTGTAGGTTTGCTCTTTCACTCTTGGGGGTAAACCGGGATGTGAGGTTAATATGTTAGTTAGAATGTATGTTTTAAAAGAACGCATTACTTCGATGACCTGATTTGAGAATACTTTGAGTAGCTATTCATAGATGAGGCAAATACAGGCATCCCATCAGTCATATTGGTGGTTTTGATGATTTTACACGGGACTCAGTTGTATTTATAAAGTAGGCTACAAATGAAGAATTCTTACCGGTATTCTAAGAGTTGTGCTTTTCTTTAGAATGCTGAAATACTGTTACATGGTTATTACCTGCCATGTAACATTTGCATTTTGGACTAGAAAAGCCTCCACAGATATGTTGAGATGGCCAAAATAAAATTGGATCATATTACTCCAGTGCTAGCCTCTCTACATTGGCTTCCTGTTAAGGCTAGGGTTGATTTCAAGGTTTTGCTGCTAACCTACAAAGCATTACATGTGCTTGCTCCTACCTATCTCTCCGATTTGGTCCTGCCATACATACCTACACGTACGCTACAGTCACAAGACGCAGGCCTCATTATTGTCCCTAGAATTTCTAAGCAAACAGCTGGAGGCAGGGCTTTCTCCAATAGAGCTAAATTTTTATGGAATGGTTTGCCTATCCATGTGAGAGACACAGACTCTGTCTCGACCTTTAAGTCTTTACTGAAGACTCATCTCTTCAGTAGGTCCTATGATTGAGTGTAGTCAGGCCTAGGGGTGCGAAGGTGAACGGCAAGGCACTGGAGCGACGAACTGCCCTTGCTGTCTCTGCCTGGCCGGCTCCCCTCTCTCCACTGGGATTCTCTGCCTCTGACTCTATTACTGGGGCTGAGTCACTGGCTTACTTGTGCTCTTCCATGCCGTCCCTAGGAGAGGTGCGTCACTTGAGTGGGTTGAGTCACAGACATGATCTTCCTGTCCGGTATTGCGCCCCCTCAGGCTCGTGCGGTGGAGGAGATCTTCATGGGCTATACTCAGCCTTGTCTCAAGGTAGTAAGTTGGTGGTCTTTTGATATCCCTCTATTGGTGTGTGGACTGTGCTTTGGCAAAGTGGGTGGGGTTATATCCTGCCTGGTTGGCCCTGTCCGAGGGTATCGTCAGACAGGGCCACAGTGTCCCCCGACCCACCCCTATCTCAGTCTCCAGTAACTATGTTGCAATAGTCTATGTGCCGGGGGGCTAGGGTCAGTCTGTCCTATCTGGTGTAATTCTCCTGTCTTATCTGGTGTTCTGTGTGAATTTAAGTATGCTCCCTCTAATTCTCTCGCTCTCCCTCTCTCCCTCCCCTCCCGGAGGACCTGAGCCCTAGGATCATGCCTCAGGACTACCTGGCCTGATGACTCCTGGCTGTTCCCAGTCCACCTGGTCGTGCTGCTGCTCCAGTTTCAACTGTTCTGCCTGCGGCTAGGGAACCCTGACCTGTTCACCGGACGTGCTACCTTGTCCCGGACCTGCTGTTTTCGACTCTCTCTCTCTACCGCACCTGGTGTCTCGACCTCTGAATGCTCGGCTATGAAAAGCCAACTGACATTTACTCCCGAGGTACTGACCTGTTGCACCCTCTACAACACTGTGATTATTATTTGACCCTGCTGGTCATCTATGAACGTTTGAACATCTTGAAGAACAATCTGGCCATAAGTCGCCATGTACTCTTATAATCTCCACCCGGTACAGCCAGAAGAGGACTGGCCACCCCTCAGAGTCTGGTTCCTCTCTAGGTTTCTTCCTAGGTTCTTGCCTTTCTGGGGAGTTTTTCCTAGCCACTGTGCTTCTACATCTGCATTGCTTGCTGTTTGGGGTTTTAGGCTGGGTTTCTGTATTGCACTTTGTGACATCTGCTGATGTAAAAAGGGCTTTATAAATACATTTGATTGATTGATTGATTGATTAATGAATGTGTGTGGTGGACAGAGTCACACTGAAACACCTAGCATCACAATGAAACAAGGAAGAAGAGGTCATCTACCTGTTTTCAGGCCTGACATTGGAGAGGTAGTTGCAGCTCTCCGAGCGGCCATTCGAAGAGCTGACCTCATCCTCATTGTAGCTGCCGCCGGACCTCCCATTGCCAGAGTAAGAACGGGTCATTGGTCTTCTGGAAGTCATTGTCCACTCAACAGATATTCCCACAAATATAAAGGATAAGTGTCTACTACATAAGACTGGTCCTTGAGTGAAAAAAGCTCAGCTTGTCATGGATCAAAGCCCCAGTTTCAAGTTACAGTGTCTTACCGGTGTAAGAGTTGCTGGAAAAGAACAGAGAAAACAGCTGTGAATACTGTTAAATGTTGATCTAGATTAATCTCTGGGAAACCTTTCAACCATTCAAATAGATCCTCAAAGAAAAAATAACATGTATGCACCTTTCTCAAGCAATGTAAAAATTATTATACTCATGTAATTCAGACAGTGGTAACTGCTTTCCTTTGACCAAGCTAAGCAGTTGCAATGGAGAACATTATAAATAGGAACTGCTATCAGGCTTGACAAGGGTTGTTGGAGGAGTCAAACGTAATCCTTAGACATTATTATACAATTCAGAGGTTAAGATTGAACTCAAACACTTCTTGATTGAAAGAAAAGTTTATAATATTGTGAACTTACCATTTATAGGCTTTTCAGTGTCCTTTGGAGCCTGATTCCCAGTGGCAAAGCTCTGACTGCAATTGTCAATCATAGGCATGCTTGTAGTGCCATCAGGACCCTATTTATAGCAGACCTACAAATAGCCACAAGTGCACATCACATTTTCCCAAGCTAGCCTTCAGACATATATTCAACAAGAGAAGGCTAAAGGTAATCTCTGAGGAAAAATCTATAAATTCCCAAATTGGAAGAAAGTATGTCAAATAAAAATCACAAGAGATAGCAGATCATTATACACTATCATAGTTGACCAATAAAGGTAATGTTAAAAACACAACCTCTTAACATGTTGACAGCAGTGAGTATAGACTCAAATCTAGGTGGGACACTGTGTTGGTGGCAGACTTGTTGCAAAACACTGATATGTTATGCATCCAGAGATACTTGGGGATTTGTACATGTGTTTGGTGCTTACCCAGGGACAGCCCCACTTTGATACTGCCTGCCACTAAAGAGTTCTTCCAAAACAGCCTTGAGAATGTGGGTTGTAAATTCAGCCATCTGATCACATTGCTTAATTTTCCATTGCCTGCTTAGGTTACACACTAAGCACAGAGGACTACCAGCAAAGTGGGATATTACATAAAATGAATTAACTGTATTGCTATTTTTTTAAATCCCAATTTAAACTAATAAGCACAAGAGTAATTTCATAAAACAAAAATACATTTCATATAACAATAAAAAGTAAAAAAGTAATAAGCCTATTTCTTTCAAAAGTGAGAAGGCAAGAGCATTGTTGAAAATTTTGAGAAACTTCAAAAGTAAAATCAAAGTAAATCCACCTTTTAAAGATGTCTGTGCTATCTTCGTCCACGTGTGACTGTGGATCTTATTGTGGATAACTATTTCCTTCATTTAAGTTGGCATTTGAAAATATATTTTATAGGACAGGGCTCATATACTACATATACTACGGTAAAGGGCGGGTATCATTGTTCCGGGAAAAAGGGATGTCCTTTCTTTTCTTTATTGAGATACAGTTATGATGAGTCACAAGAGGAGTTACATTTTCGACTGTAGTTTGTATAAGGCAATCGAATGCATGCTGTTAAAGTGTGGCATTTACATGGTGTTTGGTCGCAGTTCAGGTATGTACAAAACATTGATACAGGTAGCCTACACAATAACCCTCTCTAGCCATAGAAATGTGTTGGATCACTTTTTGTATAATCATACTATTTGCGTGTTTGTTTAGATTGTTCCCCTTCGTTTTTACCATAGACTTCTGTATTTCATTTAATGTAACCATACCTCTCACAATTACTACAATTAACATAGGCCTAGTACATTTTTTTTTTCTATGACAATAATATATGATCAAACACTAATATTTCTATAACATATTAATGTATCTTCTTGCTTTTCAAGAGCTGAAACACTAGAACATAGCACGTGATGGGATGAGTGTGCAGACAGGAATGTGTGGTGGTGATTTTCTTGAGTTTATAGGCTACTCATGTTTGCAGTCAGGAAATTCTTATTGGTCTAGTAGTATACCATATAACTAACAGTCACAATTTTGAGCTGTAGACTAGTAGAGGATATTATTTGGCCCTACTTTTACAGCCATTAAATTGTAGAACTGTATGGCATATTGATAGTCGCATATAATTGTTACTACTCTGTAATAAGCAATTTTCAGGAAGATGATGATGGACAACTGTCCAGATTTGGCTGGCCAGCACATATTGTGTTGAAAAGATGCTAGCCTACCAGTCTCAATTTTTCTGGAAATAGATGAATTGTCTTATGATGGTTGTCACATGCACAGTTGTAAGATGGGAAGTGGTGAGAAAATCTACTAGTCACACTTGCCTATGCACATTTGTTCCATGTGGTCCACAAACATAGTCATGGCCCTTATCAGACATCATCTCCATGACATGTTCCTGTGATTTTTGGCTGCATCTTTTGTTGGTTGATACACAGTTCACTCACCTCCGGCACAATTCTGATGCCCATATTTTGTATTTTTCTCACCTCTAACAGGCAGCACAGTGCAGGAATGACCAGAACTGACTATACTTGAGGTTTAGAAGATCCTATTCCACACTGAAGTGATGAAAAACATGATCAGAGGTGTGAATTTCCCCCATTTATTGTGCAAATCAACTATGTTCCATGATCTTTGATCAGTACACTGACATAACATTATTTTTGAATAACAATTCTGTAATATAATGTTATCACTTTCCATTTTCAGACATTGTCATTGTGCAGCATCCCATTTCTGTGTGTGTACCACTGAACTACACGGTGAATCTGAGTGTGAGAGCAGAGGGGACAGGTATCCTGAACTACCAGTGGTTCAAATCTGATGAAGAGGAGGTATGGGGTTGTTGAGGATTTTTGTCATTTTTGTCTGACATAGTATTATGTTGTCAATTCGTAGAGTAACACAGTGTATAACCAATGAAATGGCTAATGTTTTTTTAGGTATTTGGTGCGACCAGAGCAGATCTGACTGTCACAGCCCAGAAGTCTCAGCTCTACATTTGCCGCGTGAATGACCAGTTCTGCAACTGTGTGTTCAGTGAATGGGTCAAAGTAAAGGTCCTGGACATTGCTAAACCAGGTATATGAATCGTCTACATTAGTTACTAGTTATAAGATAATGTGTTTGCAATGCAGATTTTTAAAACTTATTTGATCAATGCAGAGCACTATTTTGCGTATAATGTATTGCTATTGCATTTTTTATTTATTGAGGTCTCCCAGTAGCGTGGCGAGGGGAGCTCCATATCGCTGTACACCCTGCACCCCAGACTGTCAGACAGGGGCAGAGACTCACCCTCAGCTGCTCTGCCTTTGGTATTCCCATCCCACACTACCAGTGGTACAGAAATGGTCATCCTCTGCTGGGCAAAACCACTGACACACTTCAGGTAACTCCAGTGTTTATTTACTCCTGCACTGAGGTCATCGTATTTACTCTGTCTTGACATTTGATCTGGCCGATAGCCAACAGTGCTTCAGCAGTCCAATGTAAACATTGTCATTTAGAAGAACTTGGTTAATATTTAACATAAGGTTTGATTTCTAGAATAGTCTTATGTGCATGAGTAGAGCCAAACATGAATGGGAATGTGTTTGTATCCCTTGTAGATACAGAATGCAGAGGCAGACCATAGAGGAGCATATCTCTGCTCTGTGTCCAATGTTGAAGAAGAAAGATGGACAGAGCCAGCTGATGTTGATATAGGTAAATAGAAATGTGATGGAGCTCGAAGGGCATCTGGGCAAATAATGAGGAAGGAATATAGTTGTTTGTAGGAAGTCACCCCACTGTGAATGATGTTGTAAAATTGCGGAGTCTACATTCTGTGAATGTGGCTCTATAATTATAAACAGATGTGCAATAGTGAATATGAAACCCAAAAGTCCCTCACAGTAGCACATAACAAAACACTAGCAACAGTTATTTGTTCAGTGGCATGAGTTTTACTATTAGTATTTTCTATTTTCCATGACAAAGTCTACCACATAATTCACTGTAAAGTTATTCCGCACTTTTCAATGAGCTAGTGGAATAGCTGTCAATATTCAGATTTCTGCACATGCCTCCCAGTACCTTTGTACAAAACTATCAAGTGGGTCTTTTCATTCTGCTGAGGATTTAAGGTACTTTCCCTTTGTTAAAGACAGAAATGGTAGGAAGTTGACAGGCTCTAAACAGTGGGCAGGGTTGTATAGACAACAGCTAAATTACTTGAAATGAAACTAGCCTTTGGATGTAGGTTCCCCTTTTGCATTTGTATGTGTTTTCTACATTTTGACTCAACCAGTTTGAAGAAAAACAGAGGCCTTTAACACACTCATATTGCTTTTGATCTTGTTTGTTGTGATAACAGATTGAAGTGTGATGTGTGAGGTTATGCACTGATTTTAACCTTTGTTTTTCTTTATTTTTTCCATTTCATTCAGAGCCAACTAATCAACTCAAAGTCACAGCTCCAAAACCCACAGGTATAGTGCCTTGCAAAAGTATTCATCCCCCTTGGCATTTTTCCTATTTTGTTGCATTACAACCTGTAATTTAAATGGATTTTTATTTGGATTTCATGTAATGGACATAAACAATTAGTCCAAATTGGTGAAGTGAAATGAAAAAAATAACTTGTTTCACAAAATTCTAAAAAATAAATAACTGAAAAATGGTGCGTGCATATGTATTCACCCCCTTTGCTATGAAGCCCCTAAATAAGATCTGGTGCAACCAATTACCTTCAGAAGTCACATAATTAGTTAAATAAAGTCCACCTGTGTGCAATCTAAGTGTCACATGATCTGTCACATGATCTCAGTATATATACACCTGTTCTAAAAGACCCCAGAGTCTGCAACACCACTAAGCAAGCGGCACCATGAAGACCAAGGAGCTCTCCAAACAGGTCAGGGACAAAGTTGTGGAGAAGTACAGATCAGGGTTGGGTTATAAAAAAATATCTGAAACTTTGAACATCCCACGGAGCACCATTAAATCCATTATAAAAAAATTTAAAGAATATGGCACCACAACAAACCTGCCAAGAGAGGGCCGCCCACCAAAACTCACGGACCAGGCAAGGAGGGCATTAATCAGAGAGGCAACAAAGAGACCAAAGATATCCCTGAAGGAGCTGCAAAGCTGTCCATACAATCTGTCCATACAACCACTTTAAGCCGTACACTCCACAGAGCTGGGCTTTACGGAAGAGTGGCCAGAAAAAAGCCATTGCTTAATAAAAAAAAAGAAGCAAACACGTTTGGTGTTCGCCAAAAGGCATGTGGGAGACTCCCCAAACATATGGAAGAAGGTACTCTGGTCAGATGAGACAAAAATTGAGCTTTTTGGCCATCAAGGAAAACGCTATGTCTGGCGCAAACCCAACACCTCGAGAACACCATCCCCACAGTGAAGCATGGTGGTGGCAGCATCATGCTGTGGGGATGTTTTTCTTTCTTTCTTTTTTTTGTTGTTGTTGGTATTTTACCGCCTTTTTTCATGGTATCCAATTGGTAGTTACAGTCTTGTCCCATCGCTGCAACTCCCGTACGGACACGGGAGAGGCGAAGGTCAAGAGTCGTGCATCCTCCGAAACCCAACCGAGCCGCACTGCTTCTTGACACAGTGCCCGCTTAACCCGGAAACATCGTACACCTGGCGACCGAGTCAGCATGCACTGCGCCCGGCCTGCCACAGGAGTCGCTTGTGCGCGATGGGACAAGAACATCCCTGCCGGCCAAACCCTCCCCTACCCTGGGCCAATTGTGCACCGCCCCATGGGTCTCCCGGTCGCGACAAAGCCTGGACTCGAACCAGGATCTCTAGTGGCACAGCTAGAACTGCGATGCAGTGCCTTAGACCACTGCGCCACTCGGGAGGCCCGTGGGGATGTTTTTCATCGGCAGGGACTGGGAAACTGGTCAGAATTGAAGGAATGATGGATGGCGCTAAATACAGGGAAATTCTTGAGGGAAACCTGTTTCAGTCTTCCAGAGATTTGAGACTGGGACGGAGGTTCACCTTCCAGCAGGACAATGACCCTAAGCATACTGCTAAAGCAACACTCGAGTGGTTTAAGGGGAAACATTTAAATGTCTTGGAATGGCCTAGTCAAAGCCCAGACCTCAATCCAATTGAGAATATGTGGTATGACTTAAAGATTGCTGTACACCAGCGGAACCCATCCAACTTGAAGAGCTGGAGCAGTTTTGCCTTGAAGAATGGCAAAAATCCCAGTGGCTAGATGTGCCTAGCTTATAGAGACATACCCCAAGAGACTTGCAGCTGTAATTGCTGCAAAAGGTGGCTCTGCAAAGTATTGACTTGGGGGGGTGAATAGTTATGCACGTTTACGTTTTTTTGTCTTATTTCTTGTTTGTTTCACAACCCCCCCAAAATCATTTTAATTCCAGGTTGTAAGGCCTCAAAATAGGAAAAATGCCAAGGGGGGTGAATACTTTTGCAAGCCACTGTATGGCTCAGTGTAAATAAAGTATCTGCTTGAGTTATTTTTAGAATGCAGTTTGAGCATTTCCTCATTGAAGAGGGGAACTGTTGTACCAGTATTTTCTGATATATGCAGGTTCATGTTTCTATGGTATAATTAGCTGTTCTTGTTGTATAGTAAATTAACCCTGATTACAAATTCCACTATGGTCTTTCCGTCCAGCGACTGACAAAGTGGCCCTGCTTATTGGTAACCTCAACTACTCCCACCACCCTGACCTGATGGCCCCCACTATGGATGTCCATGAGCTGGCTAACCTGCTGCAGCAGCTGGACTTCAGAGTGGTGTCTCTACTGGACCTCACCAGGGAGGAGATGCTGGCAGCCATTGACAAGTTCATTCTTCTGCTTGACAGGGGCGTGTATGGTGAGTTCAATACTGTACAGTATTCTGGTGGTTACATTACAAGGGAGAATGTATTTTGAATTGAGGGTTTTCAGAGACTCTAAAAAGCTAACGATGACATTGACACTATTCCCCGCCTCAGATGAATAGGTGCAAATGTATAAAAAAAAGTATCTGTTAAGTGGAAACCAGACTTCGTAGTCTGGTTAAGTTCCCTTTGAACTTATTCTGCCCTTTTCCATTGAAAACGCTGGTGTTACGTTTCATAATCCTATGCTGCTGTTTTGAGATCTTATTAGTAGCTTGGTGTGAGAGTGTGGTTTAGCAGGCAGATAATAGGTGGAAAGGAGAAGCATGGGTCTGTAGTGTTTGGGGCGAAAAGACTTGCTATGTATAGCCGTTTTCTAAAGGCCTGCGACAGTTCTACTTGACAGATTTATTTAGCACCTGTAAAGGGCCTTTAGCAACCCAGCAAACTGTCAGCTTATCTCCCTTTTATATGTTAGTCAAATAAATAAACGTTCACAATGTTATTACAGGCACTGAGCCATACATATGACATTTTATTTGGCATGTAACCATTTTTAAGAATGTATAACTTTCTGCCTCATCTAATAGTCCGTACTTTTGTGTTGTTGGCTGTTATAGAAAACGAGGTCAGCTTAATGTGAAACTAAAAAGCAATCTAAAAAGTAGCAACCTGGCTTTCTAGGAGCTTTTAGGACCAGCACAGCTGGATTCCGCTGGACATATTACCTAGAAAGCAAGCAACATAATGGTTTGTTGATAAATGACAGGGTCAGTGTTGTGTGATATTCTACACAGTATATGTTTGCTCAAATGAAACCGGCTAAAACATGGAGCCTTGTTTGACAGATGCATAAATAGTATGAAACATGTAGCTACTGCGGCTCGGCTTCGTCCTACTTTCACTGCCCTGAAAAGTATACACTGAGTGTACAAAACATTAAGAACACCTTCCTAATATTGGGTTGCACCTCCTTTTGCCCTCAGAACAGCCTCAATTCGTCAGGGCATGGACTCTACAAGGTGATCTGTCACGCCCTGGTTCTGGGGACTATTAAATGTTGAGCCAGGGTGTGGATTTTCTATGTTATAGTTTTCTATGTTTTGTTCTAGATCGTTTAGATCTATGTTGGCCAGGGTGGTTCCCAATCAGAGACAGCTGTAGCTCGTTGTCTCTGATTGGGGACCATACTTAGGCAGCCTGTTGGCACCAGTTTATTTGTGGGATCTTGTTCCGTTTGGTTTGTTGTGAATAACCTAGGACTTCACATATCGTTTGTTTGTTGTTTTTGATTGTGTGTTGAGTACAATTAAAGTATGTACGCTTATCACGCTGCGCCTTGGTCCGTGTCTTCCTGTAACGGTCGTGACATGATCAAAAGCATTCCACAGGGATGCTGGCCCCTGTTGACTCCAATGCTTCCCACAGTTGTGTCAAGTTGGCTGGATGTCCTTTGGGTGGTGGACCATTCTTGATACACACGGGAAACTGTTGAGCATGAAAAACCGAGTAGTGTTGCAGTTCTTGACAGACTAACCGGTGCACCTTGCACCCACGACCATACCCCACTCAAAGGCACTTACATATTTTGTCTTGCCCATTCACAATCCATGTCTCAAAGCTTAATCTATGCTGATTGAAGTGGATTTAACAAGTGATATCGATAAGGCATTCACCTGGTCAGTCTATGTCATGGAAAGAGCAGGTGTTCATAATGTTTCGTACACTCAGTGTATCAGTAACGTTATGCTATCCCCCACAGCCCTATTCTACTATGCTGGTCATGGGTACGAACGTTCAGGGAGGAACTATCTGGTGGCCATAGACGCTCCACAGCCCTACCGTCCAGAGAACTGTGTCTGTGTACAGAGGGTCATGCGCATGATGCAGGAGAAACGGACTGCATTGAGTGTGGTCTTACTAGACACCTGCAGAACATGGTAGGCTTCCTGATGGACACCTCATGTTATTGTTTGTTGCTCTACTTCTTGTCCTCACTTTTGTACGAACAGTATTATGATTGTGGAAGGACTAAAACAGGTGTTAAGTTGTATATTTGTATTTTAAGGTACAACCAAGATTGCATAGCTTCTGAAATCAGGCCCTTGGTACCCATGGGAAACACAGTGTATGGATATGCCACGTATGTACCACCCATACACAAAAATGTATGCACGCATGACTGTAAGTCGCTTTGGATAAAAGCGTCTGCTAAATGGCATATTATTATTTATTATTATGTATTTTTTGTGTATGTAACAACAAGTTATTTTATGAGTGTTCATTTATGGCCTGAAATCTAAATGACCTCCTGCTGCCTTAACAGATGTGAAGATTCAGAGGCGTATGAGGTGCAGGATGGAGGGAAGAGCACTGGGATCTTCACCAAGTACCTGAACAAGCACATCCTGCAGCCGGAGAAGGTCACTCACGTCCTGGAGCAGGTGTCTGAGGGTCAGTGTTATTGTATGATAGGCTTTGCTCTTACAGTATGACGGTGACTTTGGAATTTCAGGATGGATATTTTGACATGCTGTTAACACCAATCCATGACTCACATGGGAAACCCCTGGGTTTCTTTTCACGGAAAATTACAAGCTATTACCCAAGAAAGACTAAATTCCCTGCTAATGAGAGCAGAAGAACCTTGCCTTCCTGGGTGACTTTGGGTTCTATATCTCCTCTATAGGAGATGCACAGTAGTGTCTGTAAACAGGGTCAGTGTAGAACTTGTTGTTGGATGGAGCACAGACATGTTCACTTCTTAAAGGTCCAATGCAGCTGTTTTTATCTCAATATCAAATCATTTCTGGGTAACTATTAAGTACCTTACTGTCATTGTTTTCAACAACAACAAAAAATAAAACAATAATCCTTAGCAAAGTTCAATTTCTCAAGCAAGAATTTTGGTAGGACTGTCTGGGAGTGGTCTGAGTGGGGAGGGGAAAACAGAAAACTAGCTGTTATTGGCAGAAAGGCTTGGAACTCTCTTTCTTATTGATCTATTAACTAATTTACCAGCTGGTGACGTCACCAGGCAGGCCAAAACTCCATCTCACCAAAACAGGATGAAATTTCAGGTGGTATTTTCAAACAGCTCTTACACTAAAAGGGCATTATCATCATTTTCACAATTTCACAGTATTATTCCAACGTCATAGTGTGGAAATATATATAAACACAGGAAAATCACATTTTTGACTGCACCAGGCCTTTAACGTTCCTCCATCACTGGCTACTCCCCCTGGTGCAGCAGGTAACAATGGGCGGAGCTTGGAGGGGTGCGCATGCTGTCCCCGCTAGGTCCATGTTTTGTGGTTTGATTGGTCTCTCTGGTAACATGACTTTGTGGGACAGAGCTGCATTAGGATGTGACCTCATTCTCTGGAAATTCACACTGTTGGTCGGAGCACAGCAGGAAATCTGAGAGCAGTAGAGTTAAAAACAGCTGCTCAGGCGTGTGTGTGTGTGTACCCCCTCTACACTGCTCTCCTGTGGTCAATGAGCTCCAGCTCCAGTGAACCTGCATAGCTTAACACAGCCCATCCAAGGAGGTGCTGGTAAAGTAAAGTATAGGTTGACTGATGAGTTGTCAGTGGCTGTAACGGTCGGACCTTGGCACAGAAGCTCACGGCTTACATAGGAGATATATTTAATGAATGTCAAGACTCCTCAGATGTGCCACCGTTACTCACTGTGACATTGTGAAAACAACCATGACACAATACGTTTTATTTCAGGGTGACAGCTGAACTACATTTCTGAAAGTCATAAATATCATACCCCCCCCAAAAATGCTAATCTCATCCTGTTATTGGTAATGGTGAGTTAGCATGTTTTGGGGGCATGATCTTTGTGCATCTGTAACTTTCTCACTCATAATAATAATAATAAGCCATTTAGCAGACACTTTTATCCAAAGCGACTTACGGTCATGCGTGCATACATTTTTTTTGTGTATGGGTGGTCCCGGGGATCGAACCCACTACCTTGGCGTTACAAGCGCCGTGCTCTACCAGCTGAGCTACAGAGGACCACTAAACTCATCATTATTCAAGATTCATTCATGATTATCCATAATCATTGTAGCATCCACATTAATGTAGAAGTGTTAAGAAACATATTATATTTTTATTTACAATAAAAGTGACTCCAAAATGACACAATACATTATTTACCATTAATTTCCATTGGGCACAACATAATCCAAAACACAACCAAAACAAACTGTAAATGCATCCAACAAGTTTGTAGAGACACAAGCTTGATGTAGTCATTGCGTGCTAGGAATATGGAACCAAATACTGCGCTTTTGACTAAATTTTAAACTCTAAGTGAGTTTGTCCAGATACTTATGACGCCTTCAAATGGAGGGACTATGTACATAAAGTGCATTTATTTCTAAACATTTAAACAGATATGTATGAAAATACCCTCAAATAAAAGGTGACATTCTGCACTGCAAGGATCATCAACTAGATTCAGCCGTGGGCCGATTTTCTCTCGAGCACATGATCGGGGGGCCGGAACATAATTACAAATAATTTGTAGACTGAAAATTGACCGCAAGAATCCCAAACAGATATAATGTTTGACTAAAACATAATCATTTCAAATCTTGCTTACATTTGTATACGATCACATGATTTCTTAAATAGATTTCTTAAATAAAAATCGCTCGGAGCTGAGTTCCTGGAGTTTATCCAGTCTTTTATGTCCAACATTGAAAATAAAGAAATTTGAAAAAATATATAGTTTTTTTGTGTTGCTTAGAACTCATGGGGGGCCAAATAAAACCACCCGCAGGCCGCCAGTTGGGGTACCCTACTGTACTGTCAACTCATATAAAACATTTGATCTCAAATTCAAAATGCTGGAGTATAGAGCCAAATTAGCTTCAATGTCCAAATAAATACGTAGGGGAGTGTATATGCAAATGAGGCATATATAATTGTCTTTATTTTATAACAAAGTATGAACAAAATACCTGATATATAAAAAAATATATATATATATATACGAGTGTACAGTATTATAAGAAAATAATGAGCATTTTACAATAAATGGAATACCTGAATTCCCACCAAAATGCCAGAATTTGTCCATACCAGTACAATGTTTTATGTGCTATAATTCAGTCAATATATGATGGATTTGAAAATGTCTAAAGGTTTGGAGTATTTTCATCCATTGTCCAACTATTGCATTTATCAGAATTGTATTTTAAACCTTATAACAATTTTGACGACAGTTGCTAATTCATATCTAGGAAATAATATTCACTGAAGTGACAGATCACATCACGATCACATCATGAGACGATTTTATGAACAGTAAACACACTGTTCCCAGAACCTCATTTGAAGAATGAGGATCTATGTCCTGCTTGTCTTAGTTATTTATTAATGGAAAAATAGTTGTTGATGAACTGCTGTTCCCTCAACTCTAATGGAAACATGGCGAAGACAGCTTGCTTAAAATATGTACTGAAGCCAAATCCTCTGCAAGGCTAAGAGTAAGCCTGTATCCAGGGCCCTGAATAGGGTTTCAGTGTATCAGTTTTCTCATCTGGCCAACAATGCCTTATACATGCTTGTCACCTAAACATTTCTATAAGTTCACTCTTATTATCCACATGTTTATAATTTCAGAGCCTTTACATCAGTCAAATAGTATTATTATTTTCATTTCAGACCTACTATTGAACCCTCCTTAAGAACAGCTGTTACCTTGGCAGCATAGGCTAACCTTTAACCTTTACCCTGTTCCTCAGATCTAGGCAGAGACCCTCTGGTCACAGGCAAGCAGGCGGTGGAGATCAAACACACGCTGAAGGAGCCTCGCTCCCTCACAGATCCGGTCAGGACCACCGGCCACACTGGGGAGCTACGTCTGAGAGATGCCTGCTGGAGACAGGCCAACGGTAAGTTTTTACACCAAAATATCCCCAATCCAGACCCTTTTTCACAATTAATGGAAATCTAAAAAAACTATTGATAAATGATTGTGTATATGTCAAGTGCTGGTCTTATTTTAGATGCATTAGCCATGCATGGTATGGTGTGTCTTTTGCTATGAAATACTGTAAAGTCATTTTCTTGCCCTAAGTTAGTCTTATCAAGAAAGAGGAAAAGCAATACCCCCTCCAGTATACCCCCTCCAGTTCTGCATGTGATATGGATGTGGCTGTTAAAGACAGTGTGGTTTAGCATGAGTCATGACCATCACACAACCATTCAATAATTTACTGTTTATTTGTGGTGATAACAGACAGGGAACTTGTTTGTATATTTAAAGTCAACCATAAGCTTATTTCACTCACAGGATATCCGTTGTCAGATTTTAAGGAACAAACTCCTACTGTAACCTTTTTCAAGGACAAGGTGACTTCTGATAAAAGCAACTTCTCTGAAAACATGTCTGGCCAATTCTCTTATCGAGTCTATGTCTCCTAGAGATGCTTTCTTACACAAGATTTGTATCTTAAAACTGTCTTTCCATGTGATATCATCCCACACAGAGCTACCACGTCAGAAGCTGCTTGTTTTCCCCTGTGGAGTTGAGGTGGAGGTCCGCTTCTCAGCCTTGTTCTCCAACGTCATGGTTGCCTTCGGCACAGTGAAAACCACTGGCCCCAGAGCCCAGGACTGCACTGTTACTCTGAGGAGCACACCTGTGAGTCACCGCTTCACGTTTACTTGTTGATACCTGCCACATTACGTAGAGGGCAGGGTGTGGTGAACAAACAGCCCTTAATAAGCATTTTGATTTAGTTGCGTAACTTTCCATGACACTGCAGATATATATTTGATTGAAAGGACTTTATAACTCCTTGTGAGACCCTAGAAATGTATGCGTATTTGTATCCATCTGTAGGAAACCCTCACAACAAAACTGAAAGAGGTTAAGAAAATATGTTTAGGAGAATGTTCTAAGAGTGGGTTCTGTGCATGGTGTCTGATCTATTTCCGTTTGTGGTCACAGCTCTCAAGGCTAAAACTGTTGTATAGATATTTATCTGAACCTGACACGGCATTACTCTTTGTAATTTTGAACGTTTACTGCTCATAAAACAACGTTATATATGTAGAGAACATGCAGGTACAAAGGTTGTCAAGAGTACAGAATCATCCCCTCTTTCCTCTGTAGACTCAAGGGAATATCTTATGCACAGCACACTTATTGGTATTGTTCTGCCATATGCTGCGTATGCCCTCTCGGCTTTCACAACAGCAGTAACACCTAAAAGGCTATCAGTCATTGAATGATGTTTCCCATTTACAGAGTTCCTAGCTGTAATAAATGGCCAAAGTGAGAAACAAGAGCAGGAATTTGGGGCACAATTGCTTATCAAGCGTCTGCTTCTGTGGCGTAATAACTCCTTGGAGCATACTGACACCTAGTGGTTCAATGCATTATGTTCTCCCTACACAGTCTCCAGTAGATACAAACCCAATATACCATGTATAATGTGTATAATAAGAAGAAGTGGGTATGACAGGTTTTGTTGTAGTTGCCTAATGTATTTTATTCCCAACCTCTGTCTAGGCAATGGAGGATATCTTCTCTAGTCCTGGCAGGTCAGGTGAAATGGACTCTCTCTTACTAAACAACTTGGTTACTGAAAACCCTGACTGTAGCCTCAGACTTTGTGGCCTTCAAAAGCTCCAGGTATGCTTACTTTCTGCATCCTCATATTTAACATTTACAGTAAGCAATAATATGGTAGAAGGGTTTAGATATTGCAATCTATCATTATTTCAATGATAAACTAAAAGTGTGAATAAACATCTGTATTCTGTTTGTTTTTTTCTCTGTTCCAAAGGGATCCTTAGTGATACAGGTGGACCTACACTACACCCAAACGGGCAGAAAACTGCGGCTGCAAGAGAGCAAACAGCTAGACATAGGAAAGCCTTTGGTAGCATCCTGTGATCTGTACAGGGGACAGCAAGCATTGGTAGCCCAGAGACAAGAAGGTGCCCCTGTCCAGAGTATGGGCCACGTTTCACACAGAAAGCAGCCCCCACGTCAGACACTGGGCCAGCCAGGTCGCCCCTTCACCAGGAAGGCAGAGTGTGCTGCCAAAGTCCCCACTGCAAGGAGCAATGAACCAGAGGAGAATGATGAGTCTGAGCCTCAAGACTTTACCCTCTGATTTCCGCTCTCCACGTCTTTGGAAAAAGGATAGTTTAGTAGTTGTAGTGACTAGTGTAGTCAATAGGATATTTACTGTTTAGGCTTAAAGCAATGCACATAATTAAATCAGCACGATACATTCCATTTCTCTGGTTAGGCTACATTTAATCAGTTTAATTATGTTTATGAAGTGTGTGTGTGTCAGTGTGTGTATACATGTGTGCATGTGAGTTTGAGGAGATGATGTCCTGGATTATGTTCCTCTCTTAAAGCACTATTTGGTTCTTAGTTCTCAGCATGACACTCTACCAATATTTATTCTTAAATGATCACGGTATGAAAAAATCCGACTTTTCTACATACTTGTGAATAATAACAATAATAATAAACATTTCAGCTCTTATGTACCTGTATGTAACTATTAAAATGAATTAAATACAATTTTTATTACTGAATTATTAAAGATTCATTTATGATTAACACATAATTTGTGGTTTTATATTTTAACTACTTTATATATGTATTAATATATAGCCTATTTTAATTTAACCGTATTAACAATACGCCTACAATTCATTACAATTTCCATAAATCGAAAGAAAAAATACAATAATTAAGACAAAAGTGATTTTAGTCTAGCTAAAATAAACGTCATATAAGCAGACATGATGAGCAGATGAGGAACAAGAGGATATTAGCTAGCTAATTCAATTTTCACATTTGCAAAAAAATAAGAATCCTAAACATTCGCACAATTGGCTCAGCGTCGTCCGGGTTTGGCCGGTGTAGGCCGTCATTGTAAATAAGAATTTGTTCTTAACTGACTTGCCTAGTTAAATAAAGGTAAAAATCAATAAAATAATGAATAGCTAAATAAACATATTTAATAGCTAGGTGTCACATCTTCAGATTCAGTGACTCTGGATATTTTACTAAACATATCATTCGACATTTGAAAGGTCTATAAAATACAGAAAATACTATCATTACCTAATAAGTAATCTAACTAGTTCACTAGCTACAGATTCATCGACTTGAATAACTACCATTGAGCAAATATGCCACTGCTTGCTGGGTTATAAACCCAATATCTCCCGTTCTCTCTTAGGCCTTGTGTCGCCTGTTTTCTCTTAGGCCCTATATCTCCCATTTTTCTTAGTCCCTGGTAGCTCGCCGTGATCGTATAGTGGTTAGTACTCTGCGTTGTGGCCGCAGCAACCCCGGTTCGAATCCGGGTCACGGCATTGCAAACACAATGTCACGGCAAAAGGGCAGAATTTTTCTGGATTTTCTTATTCTTTTTTTAAAACTCCACATTTTATTATAGGTTATCCTCGTTTAGTCATTGATTGTTGACGCAATTTTCCGAACACAGCGAACCTATGAAGTCGGCTGCAGTCATTCATATGAAATGTGTTATATGTCCGCTAGGGTGTGGAAGAGTCGCTATACGATAATTATTGTGCTGAGACTATTGTGCGAAAATCCATCAATCAAATAAATCACATGTATTTATAAAGCCCTTTTTACATCAGCAGTTGTCACAAAGTGCTTATACAGAAACCCTGCCTAAAACCACAAAGAGCAAGCAATGATGTAGAAAAACTCCCTAGAAATGCAGGAACCAAAGAAACCTAGAGAGGAACCAGACTCGTTCTTCAAGATGTTCAAACGTTCATAGATGAACAACAGGGTCAAATAATAATCACAGTGGTTATAGAGGTCAGCACCATCCTCAGGAGTAAATGTATATTAGCTGTTCATGGCTGAGCATTCAGAGGCTGAGACAGCAGGTGCAGTAGAGGGAGAGAGAGAGAGAGCGAGAGGGAGATATTAAATGATCATATTCTGAATAAAAGGCATCATAAAAACATGTATTCATATCTGCCCACAGATTGAATGAGATGTAGCCAAGGCTAAGCCTATTATTGGGCACATCACCAACAAACTATAATGGTCCAAACACACCAAGACAGTCATGAAGAGGGCACGACAATGCCTATTCCCCCTCAGGAGACTGAAAATATTTGGCATTGGTCCTCAGATCCTCAAAAAGTTCTACAGTTGCACCATCAAGAGCATCCTGACTGGCTGCAATACCACCTGGTATGGCAACTGCTCAGCATCCGACCGCAAGGCACTACAGAGGGTAGTGCGTATGGCCCAGTACATCACTGGGGCTTCCTGCCATCCAGGACATCTATACCAGGCGGTGTCAGAGGAAGGCCCTAAAAATGGTCAAAGACTCCAGCCACCCTAGTCATAGACTGTTCTCTCTGCTACTGCACAGCAAGCGGTACCGGAGCGCCAAGTCTAGGTCCAAAATGCTCCTTAACATTTACATTTACATAATTTAGCAGACGCTCTTATCCAGAGCGACTTAACAGCTTCTACCCCCAAGACATAAGACTGCTGAAAAATTAATGAAATGGCTACCCAGACTATTTGCTACTCACTGTTTATTCTCTAGTCACTTTACCCCTACCTACATGTACATATTATCTCTATTACCTAGACTAACCTGTACCCCCCCCCCCCCCCCCCCCCCCCCCCACACACACACATTGACTCGGTACCGGTACCCCCTGTATATAGCCTCGTTATTATTATTTTATTGTGTTACTTTGTTTAAACTTTAGTTCATTTAGTAAATATTTTCTTAACTCTTCATTTTCTTAAAACGGCATTGTTGGTTAAGGGCTTGTAAGTAATCATTTCATGGTAAGGTCTACACATGTTGTATTTGGCTCATGTGACAAATACAATTTGATTTGAATTATGAGAAGCCCTGTCTATGATTTTGTCTTGCGTCTTATGCTACTATTTGTAAACTAAAAAATAGTTGGTATTAAAAAGTGGATACATGTAGTTTCATGACTGCTCTGGCTATGGTCACTCTGAGTCATACAATTGGGAAATAAAATCGCATGAGGGATCGCTATGGGGGACGCAAGATGGCGGTATTATTCCATTTAAGTCGTTTGTCATAAACGACGTAGCCTAAAAGGAATAATACCGCCATCTTGCGTCTGGTTGGGCTACCCCTCATTCGTTTGACTTTAGGCGCTAAACATTCATAAACATGGAATTCATAGGAGACTGAAAACCCCACATTTTGACCGCCTAGTGCCGATTGGTGGCTTAAGAAAATTAAAGATTGAAATATTCATTTTTGGTATTGCTTGTTTAGGGCTTTTGCCCATTTTGTGGACATCGCTCCCGTTGGTTCTCATTGACGTCTGTCTATTCTAAGGGTTCCGCCCTCTAGCTCAAGTGGTGAATGGTGAATGGTCACCCATCGTTCGGCCACGGGTATTGCTCCTGGATCTGGATGCGAGCGTCATTTCAATGATTCCGCACTGTGGCCTGTGTCTGTGTTGTGTTAACTTCATATGATAGACAATGCTGCGTCTTGGCAGTAGAATCTTCAGCTTCTGCTGGTCTGGTTGATCGGAAAATGTAGTCATTCAGTGACATTTTTTACATGCTGTGTTTAGCTTATTGTTCTGGTCCTAGACGCAGACCAGCAATTCTGTGAGAAGATGTTGAGCCGAATAATGAGTGGCAGCATCAGGAATCTGGATAGAGAATATGACTGCACCGTCAGACTCCTGGATGATACGGAATACACATGCACAATTCAGGTCAGTCACGTGCACTATATTCCTACAATAACTATTTATATTCCCTCCACAGAGCATATGGCAAGGCAAGTGCTACAATTGTCTCCATATAGAAACGCACGCACAGTGTTTCAGGATGCTACTACAGCAATGGTCCGTGCTATCCGGGATTCTTGGGACGTCCCTACCCCATTGAAGTTAACGTTTAAAATGGTTAAGGTAAGGGCTAAGGTTAGGGTTAGGGTTTAGGGTATGGACGTCCCAAGGATTCCGGATAGCACTGACCCTTCAGCAAGTGCCCGCATCCCGCAGGTCCCGCGATTGGCATGATCTGAATATATTGTTGTGTAAATAACTTGTTTTCTAACACATTTTTGCCATAGCCTGTGGCAGGGATAATCAACGTGGGCCAATTTTCTCTTGAGAGCATGGTCGCGGCGCAGGAACATATTTACAAATAATTAGTAGACTGCAAATTGACCGCAAGAAGCCCAATCATAAATAATGATAGACTAAAACATAATAATTTCAAACCTTGCTTAAATTTTGATATGATCACGTAATAATAATAATACCCGTCTCTCTATTTTGCGTGAGAATACGTGGGAACAGATTTCTTAAATAAAAATCACTCGGAGCTGAGCTCCTGGAGTTTATCCAGTCTTTTATGTCCAACAATAATACAAATAAATAAAATGGTGTTTTTTTTGCTCAGAAAAATTGGGGGGCCAAATAAAACCAACTGCGGGCCAAATTCGGCCCGCTGTCTGTCAGGGCCAAATTCGGCCCGCTGTCTGCCAGTTGGGGAACCCTGGTCTATGCCATCTGACTTGATGCACGTAGAGGATGTCCTAAAGGCAACTGCACGTCTGATGAATAGACTGGGTGCTCCAGTCTGTATGATAATCCACCAGCCACAGGACCTTATCAGCGTTTTTGTCGCTGACAAAGGCTAAACATGGCAAAAAGGAAATGGTTTATCACAGACACATAATCTAGCCTACTATTGTAATTGTCATTATTCACCATCATGACAGCGCTGGAAGTGGGGGTTTGAAAAGTGATCAACAGTTTTCAGGTTTTATATTTGAATCTGTCAACAGTTTTAGCCATGTTATTATTACTCAAATGACATTTTATTGTTGCTCAAGAGCAATTTGTTTACTGAAACTGTTATGAGGCTTTATATAGTTCACTACTATATGTGGAGATAGAATAATAATAATAAAAAGTTATGTTTTGTAGAAAATAAAGTGAGATAGATTTCCTGTAGAAATCAGATAGGAAGGAGTAAGGTGCTTGTTTCTTTTTATTTTGTTTGCTGCTAGTCTTGCTTTGATGTATCCTTCGTTTTATCTTCAGCCTGAAATAAAGGTAGGGGAGAGGGCCGATCAGAATCCATTACAGTACGTTTGTGTGTGTGTGTGTATTCATCTGTGGATCATCATTCCTCAGAAGTTAGTGGGGAGAGCTGTCTCCTGGACTGAGGAAATCCCTAGAGGGCTCCTACTACTTTTTAACACATTGAGACATTCAACAAATCTTGTAGAAGGAAAAATTATCAAGGTTTAGGGACACCTGTATGATGCAATGAAATGTTAAAGCTGCAGTCTTCTGTTATTTTGCTGAAACATTTCACTTTTGGCTGTATGCATCTCTGTTGGAGATATATTTTCGCTCTAGAGTTGATGATATGAGATAGAATCTCAGAGCTCCAGGAGAATGAGAGTGTTTCCAGAAGGCCCATGTTGTAAACAGCCCTTGTATTCCTGCTAGTGCCTTGAGGCTGAGCTGAAGTCATGGGGATGAGGAGTGATGAAGCTGAAAGTGTC